TGTATATATATATATGTATATATATATACACATTGTTTACGTGTCAAATAGTGTGTTTTGATCGTGTATATATGCGCTGCTGTGCTATTACAGTTGTTGATGTATACTAAAGGGCACACACATATACGTCTGCACAAATGAACATCTGCTACGTGTTAACCCGAGATGGCCTACTACAAAAAAAAAGTCAGATAAACCAATCCAATTGTTGTGAATTTACCATTCGAGGCTGTACTTGATGAGAACCCCGTGGACTCCAGTCCTGTCGCCGCGGAATCATCCATGGCGGAGCCCGCCTCTCCCAGGTGGGGCCAGCACGACACAAAGCAAACAGCGCGTTCTAACCTTTGCGAGCACTTTTCTTTCAGGCTACCCACAAAACCGAAATTTTGCTGTTCGTTCAATTAGATAGAAAACTGGCTTAGTACACAAGCACAAATAGACACATACACAGAGGCCGTATATTGTCTAAGGCACGGGCAGCAGCAAATGGTAGTTCGTTTAACAGTATCCGTAAGTTGTTATCGTTGAATCAAGAAGCGACATTCGTGCGTTCGTTTGCACTCACACATTCGATGTTACACAACGGCCACCGGCAACGGCGTCAGCTAGCGACTTCATCAGCATTAACAACTTCATCAGTAACAACAATAGCATCTGAGACAACCGAAACCGAAGCCGCGAGAGTTACACTGAGACAAAGACGAAAACAAGGCGCAAGGAGCTAGCTAATTACGGCGGCAGCTTAAATTTTCACCACGAGAGATAAAAAGCACTTTTATTGAGTTTGAATAGCAGCGGCAACGGCAGAAAGAGTAACAGCAACTCTCTAGAGCTGCCATCAAAGGCAGACCATCGCCATTAGAAAGCGTCAGCAACAGGCGATGGACGGGCAAGCCTACGCTGCAGTCCTTCGTTGTGTCGTTGTGCTGTTACGCTGATTAGTGCCACCGTCGTCGCCAACTGTTGAGTTGTACGGCCGTTTTGGCAATCATTGAGTTAGTTCGGTCTGACCAACATAGCAACGGGAGTGGTACCGACGCTGAACCGACCCCTAATCGGATACCCGGTCATGTTCCGGAAATGCCGAGTCTGCTGTTGCTCACGTACATGGAGCAGGCACGGCCGGCAGCAACGGCAGGGGGCGGCAACACCTAACTGCCACTACCAACTAGATAATCACTGAGACCACTCGTTATCCCACTGGTTTAGCAGTACGCAGTATGACGATTCTTTCAGTGAACTCACGCACGAAAGTAAGTTCGTTTACCCAGTTCAGCTAGTTAGATAAATAGCTAGCTGACCGACGAACCGATGTCAATGTGCAAACTAACGACAAAAATCGGTTGAGCAGCTCTGTTGAATCTTCTCATAAAGGTAACCGGTAGCGTTCGTCGGTATCCGTTGTTGATTGATAGGTATTCGCGCGGGCACTGCACACACTTCAGTTCAACACGAACAGTAGAAACAACGGCATCAATCCAGCAAATCGCTGAATTAAAGACGGCTAGTCTACAGTAAGGAGCGCGCCGGATGTCGTTTCAACCGCCGGCGCCGCTTAATGAATTTGCTCACACCGACTTCCCGACCAACGAACAGTTCGCTCGTTCAGCGTCGCTCCAATAGCGATTTTTCTATGTGTACACACACACACATACACACACACACACACACACACACCCATAGACACAAAGAGACAGACTTCTCTCTATTCTAGCTGTTAAAACAGCAACGAACGTTGGAATTCAAACAAATGTAAACATGGCCGTTGTTGGCGCGTAGCGCTAGATGGCGCTGTTGCGCATTAAGGCTGGCGCGAAATTTGAATGCCACTGGGTGGGGCTCCATAAGAGAGAGAAAAAAGGGATGCAAAGATGACGAGAACTCACGCGATGGGCAACGCGTGACGTCGCACTACTCGACCAAGTGGCGGGTGAAACGACTCAGCAAAACGGTCTGTGGTGGAGTATAAACGCGTTAAACCAATAGATACAATAAATGCTTGGATAGAAATTGAAATTTCTCAATGACGAAAATGAAAGGTTTCTATGTGCAGCAACAAGCGCAACAGTTAAATCTAAGCATCCACGATGCCATTCATTTGTCAAGAGCTTATGCATGATTTTGTCATAAAGTAAACATCTCAGCTTTCTACAATTACTTGCTTGAAAAAAACTCGAATAAACAATGAAAGTTTAATTCAGTAAAGTACACTGGAGAAGATTCTTTACAGGTAATACCTTTTAATAAAGTCCTCTCTACAGAGTTGACATTTGAAAGAAGTGTGTAGATGCCAAAGATAATACGGTCGAAGTGCTGCTCACTGCCACAGTAAAACCTTGGTTAAGTTATAACAAGTTATTATTATTATCGAATTATAATTTTTTCATCTTTGTTTCTTCAGTTTGTTTTTTTTTCATTCATTCCTCTCTGTACAGTTGAAATCCTGTCGGTCCTCAAACATTTATTATTTTATAAATTTTTTAAATATTTTTCGCCGTTTCTGTTTTCGAATGATTTCTGCGGCTGTCGATGATCTTGGTAATTTTTCACTGATATTTAAGAAATTCCAGTCTAAAACAGATGTTCAATTTAACAATAACAGCACTTCTCACCAATGTCCATCAATGCTCATGTTTCTCCTATTCTGTTAACACGATGTTACGAATGTTTAAAAGCTTTTCTGATTAGATAACGATAAGATATGAGAATTCAGTTACCAAATACGATTTGTTTTTTTTCTTCTGTAACACCTTCTCTATTTTGGGCATCAGTTTGACTATATTCATCAGGATAGGGTAAGTAGACGTTAAAAAAATAGTACTGAAGATATAACTGTTCACTCCAATAGAAATGCATTTTCTTTCAGTCGTGGAAGTATTTTATTTAAACGGATCATTTAAAAATGTAGAAACCGACGAATGCGATTAATAAAATGAAGAAATTTCGTGGTTTTTTGCTTAACGCAGCAGCATGAAAGCTATTGCGCATGCAAGCCAGTCCGTCAAATCAATTCTGCGCATTTTGAAACGAGATTTTATTGCGAAAACTGCTTTCTCTGTATGAATTGTAATTTTGAGCGTCCATATAATAAAAAAAATAGGCCGTCGATTTTATCCAGTGTGCAGAACTCCTACTTCGCTTCGCTACATTAAGTCCGCATCTGTTTGGAATCGATGCCGTTTAGCGTTCCTTACTCAGAGGAAACACTATTCAAGTTAATTTGTCGGTTGACACGTTTACACGGTAACTTGAATATAATAATTTGATAGTCCAATTTAAAGAAATTCATTGATATCATTGTAGTGCTAGATCTAATGGTTCATAATAAAAGCGATATCCGAGCAAGGAAGCTAATACACTTATTCTTGTATATATACAAGGTCGTCTGCTCGAATTAGGAAAGCTTTAAGGGACTGTGTTTTATAATGAATATGCGTTCAACTGCTACTTCTGGTACCGGAGGAGTTTTTTTCTACAGGAAAGCGATGAACTCGTTGTAATGAATAACGGCGCGTTGTTTTCGAAATTTGAGCAAAAATCAATCGTTATTTAACTTTTTTTTTTGCGCTAGGCGAACTCCCGCCAAAGCTTGCCCTCTAAGGCGACGCCAAACTTGGCTGTGTTCAAAGTGCTGTTCTCCCCTGTACCTATATAGGCAGTAGTGGTCTTTTGCACTAGACGCATAATCGTGAAGGTCACAATACATGACAGTTCATTTCTTGTCTGCAAATACCCAACTTCGTTTGCATGAAAAAGCATCTATGTCTAAAGAAGCAGTTCGATTGCTCGTTTCAATGTGATTATAGGTAAACAAAGTACTAAAACATTGGCGTTCAATACTCCTATATGTACCAAATGCTTCCCAGCCCACGCGATCCGAAACAGAGACAGAGAAATATATGAAACATACAAGTGAAGTGTTCCAATATATAAAGGTGATCGGAAACCGTATTACTCTGTTCCAAATCATTTCATTGACAACAGCGGACATGAATCGGATTAATGCGGGAGTTATCGGAATTTTTTACTATATTTAACTTGCGGTCGATATAATTAACACCTGATCACATAGCCTGGTGACTCACAGAAACAAATCTGTTACTTTGAAACAGCACGAGGCCAATCCCGGCCCCATTGTACAGTATCTGCCACAATATATCCTGCTTAATCCATCTATGTATGTACGTACGTACGTTGTGTATAATTTGGCAATGCATAGAATTTTCAGTTGGCTGCGTCTGTAGTAACTGGGTTGGGGGTTTGGGAATACGTTCACCTAACTAATACTACTACTAATTACTGGTGTTGCTGTTTTACCACGAATATTACTTTGACATTAACGGTTTAGTCAATACGGAACCTTACTATGATAAAGCTTTTCGAATATGAAAAATTTATCCGTAATTAGAGTAGAAGCGGATTTGTGAAAGCGAAAAGCTATGATTGTTACCCTTATTTTAAGAAATAAGTAAATGTAAAACGACATGTAGTATTATAATTTGTTAATTCGGCTGAAGGGATCGGGTTCACCCTAGTGTTGAAAACCTGACCAGACAGACTCGCTGGCATATGTTCAGGAGTACACCCGATAGGATGGGTTTGGAACTGGTCGTAGACACATGTTTTTGTGCTAGGATCGAAGTCCTTCAAGCAATGATTAACGGAAACTCGAACTCTGTATTTATTTGTAGCAGAATTAAACCCACTTTCAAAACTTACTGCTTTTAATGTGTCGTTCAATCGGTGGGCTGCCTTCACTACAGGTTTCGCATAGAGTTATCTTTGCGTGTTCTGTATGTTTTGGGTTGTAGTATTAAATGTCTTCAGTTGTATAACAGTTCGCTTTAGAGGTCAATAACGGTATAGAAAAAGCAACACGCAGTTTGATACATCGGTCAATTCTGGAAGGGGGTTCTAATTCAGTGCTCGAATAGCACTGTGGTCGGTTTGCGCATTAAATTTATAGGTTTGAAGGGTTCAAAGGTCTAAGCGGCCGTTTCTCGCATATCTTTGTATTTAATTAGCGCTAAATTTTTAAATAAAATCGCCATAAAATCAGCGAGTAATTAAACTGTTGAAAAAATGAGATAATTTTTCGAGAGGTAATAGCAAAGCCCTACTGATTTTTTTCATCAGCATCTCTTTGAAGAGGCGTCGTCAAAACAGATACGTGAGGCATTTCAACACGGCCCTACGTGGGGACGCCGCGCAAACGTTTGGCGGCAGGCCAATTCAAGGCATGGTTCGCGAATGCAAAATTGGTGTTGAAATAACGTTTCGAGTAAACGTTAGGACAGGTTAAGTCCGAGAAGGCTGGACAGCGATAGATTGTATAGCCGTTGATGAAACGTTAATTCATCAAAACTGCCCTAGACGTCCAAGGATACGTAGAATTCAACGGGGAAGTTAGCTATTTGGTCAATAATGTCTAACTTTAAATGAATACATTTAATATTAGTAAAAAATAAAGTAAAACAAAAAAGGCGCGTGCCGCAATTCAAATCAGTTAATATACGTAATAGCATTGAATGAGCCGGGCATACTGTTACTCTTCGTCTTTATTATACATTCAACGTTCATTTCATAAGCTATCTAAAATTGTCAACTTTGCAGGTCTGTACATCCAGTTTAGGATCAAACTAACGAGCAATGGGGTGAAGACCGGGTTATGGAACAAAAAATTCGATAATTAACTATGCTTGGGGTCTTGATCGCTACATAACACCTTAGATAGTGGAAATCACTGGAAAAAAAAGAAGCATTTTTATACGACCACACGAATTTACTTAACCATCAAGTGTGAAAACAATGGCTCATCACTATCTTAAAACAACCTTACTACCAGTAAATCATTCATATAGAATTCGAAATTTTACAAAAAAAAAATCAGGTCTTGGGGGTGCAAAAGGGATCACTCCTGTAGCGATTATATCTCTCACATAGCGACTCTTTGCTTCTAGTAATTGTCACGTATTTTATAAACATAATTTGTCCGATGCACACTCGTAAGTTAACATTTAAGCAAATTGAACGCTGTACATTATAATATTAATTTTCAGTCGTTCTTTAACTTTGAAAAAAGTTCAATGCATAGGTGTGTCGTCAGCTTTGGCAATACAGTGATATAATTCTTTCAGAGCAGCAACTGGAAGTGTTTCGAACTGTCAGATAAGATGGTTGATTACATCGGTAGCACCTTTCAAAGCAAACGACAGACAACAATTTTTTTTTAATAAACAATATTTTTTTGAAAAAATAATGAATAATAATTATACTACACGCACAGTTGGTGCTGCGAACATTACCGCTGAATCTACTGATGCGAAATACCAGCAGGACGCTGAGTTTTATCATAGACAATTTGCCTTGTTGAACAGAACAGCCAATTTGCACTTAGATATAGCCATACATACAAAGCGGGAGAACGTTTCTGCCATTTTTAGTTTAACGGTCTATTGTCTATTTTTTAAAATCTGTAAACTTCTTATCTAAACCCTAAAACAAGATTTAATGTGGCAGCTTCTTTAAATATCAGGTATAATCTGTCTTTATGGGATCTAAATCGCGGATCAGCACCTGTCTCAAAAGAAACACGCCATTATTTAATATCGCTAACGATACGAAATGAGATATTTAATAATACACGTGATGAGTGTTTATAAAACTTGTGTTTGTTGTGGTTCAAATACAAATCACCGGTATACAGCAAACTGTACGTTTTAGTGATCGATAACTCGCCCGGACAAAGCAATGCAAAGCGTAATGAATTTCCTATCATCAAATAAACGACAAACACATTTCACATATTTGACAGACACTTCTAATTGATCTTGGAGTGGTAGCATTATCATGTAATTACTTGAGTTATTTATCTATAAGGACGACATCAGTAATTAACCTGTAAAAATTTACTGAACCATCTAGTTTATTGACACCATTTTGTTGTCCTCTGAATCACAGCCTTCTTCGATAAGCTTCTTCTGCTCGAATCTATTTCGTCTGTTGGTTACTTGTTTATGTACATCTAGTTGCTTTTGGGCTGACTACTCGTGGCAAACGTATACCTTTCGTTATATTGGTATCATTAGAAAAGTGCATAGGTTTCAGTTTATTGCAAATTGATCACAGATGGGTGATTAGGCAACCACTGCTCTCTCTTTTCCTCCCTGTGCGAAAGAGCTCTGGGATCCCTGAGAAGCATAGGCCTGCTGATTAGCACCCACTGCGTTTCCCGTGCTACTCTCGGATCCAAAAGACTCTTTAGATCCGAAGCTCTCTTTGTTTCCGAAAGTTTTTGTGGAAGATCCTCCATGATTATAACCGAAGACAGATTTACCTTTGGCGGCCCCGGCGGTTTGTTGTCCTTGAGTGAACCTGTAACAAGCGGAGCGAACGGAAACGGCCTATAGAAGCGGTCTAATTTCGAATGTATCTAACTGGATAGATGCAAGTACAATCATCGATGTTACTTACCCCTCCTTGTGAGACGCTCCTCCAACGAATCCAACAGGCCCAACTCCATTAACGGGTACCACACCTCCTACTAGGCCAACTTCACCTGCGCCAATATTGCCCTCAATGGGAGCACCGGCTCCAATGGGACCTGCACCTCTGATGGGGCTAATTGGTCCTACAGGGGCTACACCTCCAACCCCAGCCAGTCCACCAATGGGAATGCCTCCACCGATTCCACCGCCGCTCACAATCGGGCCGCTCTCGACGTACGAGCCGCTTACACCATCTGTTCCAATCGGACCGCCAATGACTCCTCCGAGAGGAGCGCCGATTGGTCCACCAACAGGTGTGAACCCTCCGACAGGGGCAACAATCGGGCCAGCACCTTCACCGACTGGTCTAACCACTGAGCCTCCTACGGGCACAACACCGTTGACCCCGCCGATCGCTCCGGTGCCACCAGAGCTGCTTGCAATTTGAGAACCTGCAGCGTGGCCGCCCTTGGTAAAGCCAGAAGCATGGCTCGAATGTGCTGCACCGACGGCGTGGGCGGCAGAAGCCTCCTTGCCGAACGATTCTTTGTTGCCCCAGGTTTCCTTGTTGCCGAAGCCAGAGCTAGATGAATGTCCATTGTTGTAGCTGTACGCGCCCTGCCCGGCGAACTGTTCGGTGGCGCCTCCACTTTGCTTGAAGCCCTGGCTACTAGACGCACCTCCGTAGCTACCTCCGTAGCTACCCCCGTAGCCAATGCCTCCGAGGACAATTGGGGCTCCAGGTATGCCACTGGCTCCATATCCACTGACGCCGCTAGCTCCGTACCCACCGATGCCGCTAGCTCCGTACCCACCGGTGCCGCTAGCGCCGTACCCACCGATGCCGCTAGCTCCGTACCCGCCGACGCCGCTAGCTCCGTACCCACCTAAGCCGTTAGCTCCATAGCCACCACCACCCGTCTGGTAGCCCTGTTGACCAGTTTGGAAGCCTTGAGCGCTTCCGCCCTTGTTGAACGCTCCGGCCTGATTGTTGAAGCCCGATCCCTGGCTATGCGAATTCGTGTTAGAGAATCCGAACGATTCCTTGCTGCCGAAGCTTTCTTTGTTACCAAATTGCTTGACTCCCGAGGCTCCGTGATCGTATTGGTAGGCATTCTGGCCCTGTTGTTTAGCTGACTGCAATAGGCCAGTAGCAGTTTTCTTTAGTTAGCTATGAAAAATTCGATTGAATATTAAAATGCCGTCGTCTGAAAGTACATTTTATTTTGGGGATCGATATTTCGTCTGTTCTGTCTAAAGGCTCACGTGATTTGGCCATAATAGATAAACTTATACTAGACAAAATGGCGTCGTTTTATCGTGTCACTCTTACTCACTTCTTCAGCTCCCTGGTTGAAGTGTTGTGAAGCAAATTGTTCGTACGTTGGAAACGTGCCAAACCCCCCCCCAAAACCGGTGGGGAAAATGCTTCGCTCCTCGACGCCGGTTTTATGGCTATCGGTTTGTTTGTCGTCAGTCATCATATCAGTTTTTTTATCTCCAGCTGGGACGGCCGCAGCCATACCCAGAATCAGCGTTAATAGTACGAACTAAAATGTACAGCAAAAACAAACATTTAGTTATGTTTTTCGATTAAAATTACTACGTTAATTACTAACAAATGTATGCTTATTTATCAAGATGTAATTATTATTACTAAGATACAGTTTATTAACAAATTTGCAAGTTGAAGACAGCCTCGACTTGGGTCTGCTGTAACAGATAGGCGACTATTGTTTACCAAAATAGCAGTATCAACTATATCTCGAACTGTAACAGAGTGCAAAAGTCACTAGGTAAAATGAAAATCTATGTCATATTCATGCGCGTTCAGTTCTGAATTGGAAATTCCAAACTGTTTAATTTGGAACGATTCTTGCGGTCATATCGGCAGGAATCACCCAGTCAGTATGCTAGGATCTGCGCATTGTCGGCTGTGCTATCAATTTAACGTAAATTTTGAAACTTGTAAGTTCTTCCAAGCACATCAGCTACATTTTTACACATGGCCTCTACTTACACTCGGAACGCATTGTCGAGAAACGTACGCATCCTCTGGTAGGTTAAATATACTGCTTCACCCTTATCATCTGGTTTCGCCTATTTTAAAAATTGCAACTGGGTCTAGTACTGCATAATTTCGACGAACTTTCTAGCCTCACCTTTTTCATGCTGATGATAATATTATTGTAGTTTTGTTCTTATCGCAGCTGCGTTGTTAATCCTCGGGGAGATTTGAAAGTTCGTTTGGGGCCTGCCTTCTTATACCTTCGTGTATTCGCTATGTATAGCGATTTGCGCGCGTAGAGAGGAACCATAGATCCTGCTCACTCGATTCCCTGCCCTCGCCGTGCAGTTCACACTCTCCTCCGTTCGGCCACTGGCGGCGCTTTACGTCACGGCACGCTCTTCTGTCGATATGTGTAGTTTCCCTGGTTCTGAAGCTCGCGCGCCGATCTGGTACCCCGAGAGCGCATACCGGCGTTCACCATCAAAATAGCCGTTATGGATGCTGTGCAGCGGAGGAATAGCCAAAAATCGCTCGATCTAGACGTTGTTTTTTCTGTTCTACGATGTAACGAAAGATGATGAGAAAGATTGTTGGGGAATGCCCAGCTGAAACGGCACCGACGAGACAGACCCAGATAAAGTAGCAATTATGCTGAGATGGTGCGCGGTGAGGTGGAAATAACATCGACATATAATGCTGGTAATAGAGTAGCGTAGAATTAAATATAGAACATCACATGGAATGGATGAGATGGCCCTGAATGTTTGTAGTAGATGTTGATTAATACACACTTGTCATATAAACATCCTGGTTCAATAAAAAAGTGCCTACTATTTTTTAGCAGCGTATAGGCTTTCGATTACCTTCCCGTCACAAATATTTCAAAGATCCTTAAATAAATAAACGCTCCTATCTTTTATTCGCGTTAAAAATTTCGATTGCTGAGTAGTATATTACAACGCATCTGGGTTTTAGTACCATATTCATCCCTAGATTCTAACCCTACGGTGTGTCTTCGCCCAGATTTAAATCTAAACCGTTTCTGTGTCTTTTCAATTAGTAAGCAGGCATGTTACCGTTTCGACGACCTTTTACACTTTAATGCATCCAGGCGCGTCTGAGCGTCATAAATAATGTATTCACCAAAGACTATATCCTCGTATTCGTTTCTAGGCATGTATACATCTAATAAAAGTAGACAAAATGCTTCAGCTTAATAAAGCTGCGTCCAGGCATTTGTGACCTTTTGCCCAGTTCATGTACCGAAACCCATTTATGAAACAGCAAATTAATAAATAAGGCTGCATAAAACAAAACAAGAATTTTATCTTTATTTAACTTTTTATACGTGCCATTAGTTGACAAGTGGTAGATTTCATATTTGTGAATTCACTTAGTCTGCGAACGCATCTGCTTTGATTAGATCTTTAAGTTAACGTCTTGCCGTATCTATCTTAGTAGAGTCTAGATTCCGTTATTGAATGGTCATTAATTAAAATTGTTTCGTTGTCAGAATTCACGTCATATAAATTTTGCGTCACCGTCTTCGCTTGTTGTTATCTCCAGGATATACGCGACCCGTTTGTAAATAGATTCCCGGGGAATTACCCCACAGCTATCTATTCCTGAGTTCCTGCTGCGCAAATCAAGCAGGAAATATGTTCCGAATGACTTTACAGACGAAATACAACTTCAAATGTCAGTTGTGGCAGCATTGAAAGACGTTGTGACCGTGAGTTTCTGCAGCTTTCTGTGCTACCCCACGTCCTTCACCCTGATTCAACCAATGTATTGTCGAATACAAGCAACGATCCAACGGGACAGATATGGGGTTCAGGAAAAGGTGGTTGACAGGTGGGTCTCAATTTGCCAGCGGTGCAGTGACCCATCAGTTTAAATAGCCACGCGTAACTTAATACGACGTCAAAGTTTTTCGGTCATTTGGCGTAATGTTACGACATTTTCTACGAAACGATACCAACAGAAACTGCCGCTGTTCAGTTCTAGCAGGACCTGTTGATATTCGTCGTATTTAATATTTGTTTATTTTTGTATTAAATATTTCCTTTTCGTAATGCATGCAAACGTGTGCGCATACATAATATAATTGGATTCAGTATAATATTCATGTAAACGTGATGGGCACGGCAGCAAAAAAAAGCAGGACTAAAAGGCTACCGTGTTAGGAAGATCGACGGATCTTAGGGCGGATCTAGAGAACTGCTCAGAGCATACTGTATCAGTAGCAATTGGGCGTGATCTCTTCGGATGATTCCTGATCCCGAATCGCTGAGCCACTACATTTCATAGGCTTCAAACAATATTACAGTAAAGGCGCGACTGTGTACACTCGGATTGGTAAGCAATCACTGAGACAGAGGATGGTAGTCGATATGTATGCGAGGGTTTTAGTCATTTCGGATAATCTAGCCTCGTAGAAAGGATCAAACGTTTAGCTTAGCTTAGCTTATTTTACAAGTCTTGCATCTAAATGTCCATTTCTAGAGATTGACACAGCTAGTTATAGTTTAGTATAAGTTCCTTTTGTAGCGTTGCTTCCCTGACAGCTGGCTCATTGTAGAATATAAAAAAGTAGTAGTAATTTAAATCAGAAGGTACCTTGTGTATACATAATATCTGCAGAACTACGAAAAACTGTGCTACATATCATTAACGTCTCAGCGAACAGGACATGCCAGTTTGCCTGTATTGATTGTAGTTAGATAGTGCCGTATAGATTAGGCTTAGAACAATTGGCCGGACTGACCAGTGCGTATTGACTGACAAGGTGAGCTACTGATATTTTGTTTGATCCACTTCGCGTCTACCATTTCAATTCACTCTAACTCGCCAATCGGTAGATGCACATTATACGCTTATATGATACACATTGTATAAAAAAGCGTCCATATTCAGGCTGACCACAGTTCGATGAAAATCACTAAGTCAATCTATATAGTAGAGAGATTAATAACGAAAACAGCGCACCGTGCACTTGCTCTTGTTTATTTTTTTCTATTTTTTTTTTTTTAATTTTTTCAGTCTACTTCAGCGCCGAAACATCTAGCTGTAGGTGAAAAATTATTACGACGGAAAGATATCTTCTGGAGTGGAATCGTCTGTATAGATTTTTACGCACGATGAAAATGTCTGAGTAATCCGCGGCACGGTCAGTAGGTTTTATACGGGTGGCACGAAACGTGATCGTTAAAAAATAAAAAGAAGGTTCCTTAAGCCGAAGTAGCGCTGTTGTTCGCCGCAGCGTATATCTAAGGGTAATCGCCTATCAGTGAAAGCTGATATTCACTGTTTTGTTATAAACGAGGGTACATTTAGTGCTAGTATCAAACATGCTAGGCATACGGTGTAGCTGTTCAGATAAACGACTGGAAAAATAGATTATTTAATCCACTAAGCCAAAGTGTCGTTGACATGATTTCCAATAGGATGCCGTGGAAATAATAATGACGAGGGAAATATACACATTTTATGCTCGTATGCTATTTTGCAATGTTTACCTTTTGAGAAAGATTATAACAAATATAGGAATAGAAGCACAGAGTATCCAAATTTCATGCAAGAGCTGATGGCTGTGAATCAATGACTTCTACTAATGGCTGTCCCTGGGGTTTTGAAATTAGACATATATTCCATACGAAAATGGCAAGCAGTTTTATTTACTGCTCTCTAGTTCTGCTATGCTAACTACGGCTGGGTAAAAGTGGGGCAAACGAAATAGCTACAGTTACTGCCGTTTCGCCATAACGACACTCGCCTCTTGACGTGAAATTCGTTGCTATTGAAAAAAAATATTCGAATAGATAAAATGGTTCAAGCGCAATCGTTCGTGTAGCGGTCACGGAGCTTATTTTTATTACATTAACGAGTTTGTTCACGAAATAAGGTCTATCCACATGTATAGAGGGCAAGGTTCTTTCGGTTGGGAACCATGCGACAGAGGGCTGTCGATATGTTTCCTGTATACACGACGACTTTTCCTACAGAGATTGCTTGTATTTGTCTAGCTCGTTTTGACTGTGTGCCTGTTTTCCATCCGACCTTTTATGCTACGGTAATACATTTGACGTTTTCTCCAATCATTTAATATGTCATTCCATGTGTACCCTACTCACGTGCTCTTAGCCTATACGGTTCCTCTTTCGCCTTGATGACGACGACCTTTTCAAAATGACCTTTTATTCATTTCTTTCTGGCACGGCATTGCTGACTTCCACTAAAACCGTGTGATCAACTGGTTTTTGGAGAAAATGCTAGATGTCTCGGGTTGTCCTGTGAATAGATCCCTGCTGTCTACTGATTTCCAGCAAATCCGTAAACGTTTTTAGTAGTTAATTAGCATTTTTGGCCCTGTTGTCAAAAGAGTATTAGTATACTTAGTCCTAGTGACAAAAAGTGACTTAAGTTTACTGGTTATTCGTATAGGAAGGACGTACCTAATATTTCCATTACCGTATGTTCCTTGTTGTCCATATAGTTCTATAATTAATTTGCATTACCAAGCTAAAAAGAGTGGATGTACTGTGTTCGAATGAATGATAAAGGTCTTTTTCGAGGCATAATGCTAAAGATAGTTGAGCTTTTTCTTGTCAGTGGATAGCCTCTATTGTTAGTCCTTTGAAGCGTTCAGGATTTGACTTAATCGCTCAGCTCGAAGTAAGGACAACATGAATTATCTATCATAGAAACGGACGATTTCTTCTTAGTGAATTGAATAGAACTCCTATTATGCGCTATCACTTAAAAGTACTTATGCGATTTCCGGTATAGGTAGTATTTATGTATTAGTAGCAAAAGAATTGTTGTCTGCGTAGTGCATAGGGTCCAGAGCGAACGCAGAAGGACATCCACCGCAGCCTTGAACCATTTTTATTTGTGTACAAATTCGCGTAAAACTACAGAAGTGTTTTTCTTATAAAGTCCGTGTCCTTTGCCGTCCTTTTGCGTTACACAAAACAGGCAATTGTCGGCTTTCAGGTGCAAGTATACTAAAACAGCGTAGCGCGGTACCACCTAACCAGTGGCAGTTATTTGGATCGAGCCTCATAGAAGCGTTTATTATGTATGCCACAAATATATTTGCTTATACTGCATCACAACCTGCGTTGAAAGAGCCCCTGAACGATTTACAATTTCGGGTGACTGAGACCTTCAGTGAAACCGTCTCTTCGCCTTTCAAAATGGCAATAATTCGTTCGAACACAAAATACCTCGCGTATTTTTACATTGGCATTAGTCAGATCTTATTAAATTGAATGTTTACTTCCGAAAATTGTCAGTGTATCTGTCTATCTATTATTCGTCTGTTGCTCTTTTTTTTTTTTTTGTTTTTTCAATGTTTTTCTAACAATTTTATTGAGCAGATAAGGAACATGTTCCATGCGTTCTAAAACTTCTGTAAGCGCAGCTGCAGATAGTTTCTCCGTTTGAGTGTCTACGATGTGTTCACCTCCTCTGATATCTACAACCTCTCAATTTTGGTTTTCCAAAGGATTGCACTGATGAAAGATCGTTTTTTTACTGACAGCCTCTTGACCCAGTCTTCATACTTATTTTCATAGGACTTTATCAGCGTTTTTACTATTAGACGCTTCATCACTGCGCTGATTTACCGCACGAAACTATATCTTTGCCTCTAAATTTACTGTTCCTCAACGATCCTTTATCAGTTTCTGTCAGAAACAATAGCGCGGCAAGTGGCTTACTTCGATCTATTGGGCGTCAAAAAGTCTCTCAGATGCTGATCCGGGCCAGATCTGCTCTGGCATCATAACACTGATAATATTTGCTACGCACACCTTTATTCTGGACTGCATACTATATTACTAGATATTAATACTTAGGAGAATAAGGAACAAATGCAAAAATAAACAGCTAAGGAAGAAAAGGTACTTCTATTGATACTAATATATGTTTGTATGCCGTTTTATGGGCCATTTGGAAAAACTTCAGATAGGTCTGTGAAGACCGGTAACACTCTTAGTGGGGGAGAGTCCACAAATAACTAGTAGTGCTAAACATCAAAAAATGAAATTGCATCGTGGATGCATAGTAGCATTTGATTATTCCCGATACGGTTTCGTCCGCGATCATCATCTACTGCTACGTGAAGCAAGTTGGCTGCTCCACAACGATTGAGCCCTCGAAGAAGCATTGCTACGCTGCTAGCAATTGAACTATACCGCTAAGCGCCGGCTTCTGAATTGGCACGAAATGGGCAAGGCGAGCTCAATGGCCGACCACCATTAAAACATAGAAATCCTTACTAGACGGGGCTTTGGTAGAGTTTGTGAAATTTAGATACATCTTTGCCAAGGAACATTTTGGCGCTGGTGTGAGTGGAACATGCCACCCCTCTCTAGATCGGTCACCCAGTCATCCTGTATTGGGCTACCACTTTGCAAACTTGCGACAGAAGTAAGCCCCCAGTAAAATCTCCAATATGATGTGTTAAACGAGATGAACACGGATGTGTTTGTTTGGTTACGTGAAAAGATGGCTGTATTAGCCCGTCAAAAGTTTGATCAGATCCTACAGTTTTTGCCTGTGGCGAAAAAGGAGGTACTCGAATTTTTTTTTCAAGTTATCCTTTTGTGTAACTATTTTTTAGACCTACTTATTGGAATAGAGAAGTATTAATCGATTGTATGTATACACATTTGTTGCGGATTTTTAATGCTAGTGTCCCATAATGTATTTATAGGATCTTCGTGTAAAGGGAACAAGATTCGACTGACGGCATGAATCCCCCGCGAATTTTTTCCTAAGCCGAACCTGGGTTGATAATAAAAACTTTTTTTACGCAATACCTAATGCATTTATGTGATTAAAAAAAATGCTGTACGTAGAAAAATATTATGGGATATGAGTCAGTGTAGCTTGCAGTTGTATTTGTTAATACAAAGGCCATATGTACAAATAACAAATGTCGCAAAAACCAATGTAACTTCACGTCCAATAGATAAACAGAAACTAAGCTAACAACCTAAAAATAGGATCATTTTGCATTGTGTTTGTATCCTAAATGTACAACAGGCTTTAATACTGATTGTTACACACCGAAATACGTTAGTCGTCTGAGATCTTCCATTGAGTCGACGAAGACCGGTCACCGCGCCAAGAAATCAAAACTCTACTGTATACCACTAACGAATAGGATACACATATTATGCTGTGGTAAATCGGTAATTTTATTTTGAACATAGGTCAGATACAATACTTTAAATACCACCAACAGTTTATAACGATGGCTCAATGCACAGGTTAGGTGTGCTTATTCCTAATGTTCGTTAGTGTTAAACTTATTGGTAAGTACCCAGCATCAAATGTTTGGACAAACAAGTTTCACCTTTCCCTTTAACTTTGATCTATCTCAAAAAAATACCTCAAAAAAAAGCGACAGAAGACCTTTATCAGGCAGTGATAAAAGGCTTCTGTCGCTGAACCCTGCGTTCGGTTAATTTCGTTAAACGTGCAAAAATATTATTAGACTCAAATTTGAAATGAACGTAATTCATACATGCGGACAAAAAGACTGTAGGGTTTTAAAGAGTAATAGCGTATCACTGGTCGTAGTAAATGGATGCTTTCACTTATTAATGACGTCATGAACGTAGCGTCTCAGTTTGCATGGCCTATATGCATTTTAGTTTCAAGGAAAAACAACTAGAAACAAAGGCTGAAGTGCACAGAACTGTTTTGTTATTAGACGCGCTACTATTCTTATCCTGTCTCTCTACTTTTGTCCACATGTTTCATTAGAGCATTCAAGACGATAACACCCTTGAAATGCTAAACTTTTCTAATACAAGGATTATTAGCAGATGTCGCAGTCACTGTATTGGTTCACCGGCTCTTGAGTTCATAGCGCTGCTGCTTAGTGTCACATGAACGTATTACTCCATTCTGTAGACACCCTTGGGCCTTAGCGACCGAAACCGCCGCCGCCTCCGCCTCCACCGCCTCCGCCTCCGCCTCCGCCGCCTCCACCTCCATAGCCGCCTCCATAACCGCCTCCATAGCCGCCGCCATAGCTGCCTCCATAACTGCCCCCGTAACTACCTCCGTAACCGCCTCCGTAGCCGCCTCCATAGCCGCCTCCATAACCGCCTCCATAACCGCCTATGTGTCCCCCACCGTGGCCAAGTCCGTGGCCGCCGCCATAGCCACCGCCTGAAGCAACAAACAGTGACAAGTCGCTAGGATTTGAACGCTATGAGATCTGAAAAGATCTTATACGCATGGGTGTAGCTATGTTTGAGTAAGTCGAAATGTATTTCTGGCTGCGTTCTTTTATAATATGCTTTCGATGCATCATCAATTGAAGGCTAACACTTGTCGAATTTTTGCGTAACTGGTAACGCTTTTTAGTTTTGAGGCGAGAATGGGGACAGTATGAAGTTACTGTCTATTTTTGTGCTGTATCAATTGAAAGTCTTCAGCATAAACTTTATGCTCTCCCAGACCTTAGACAATAATTTAACTCGATTATCACGATAAATATACCGAGTCGGACATCTGCGACTGAAGTTCCTTTTTTTCTCGATTTGTTCTAAGTGGCTCATACGATAACAGAGTAGTATTAAGTTGAAAATTCAATTTGTTCAAAAAAATATTCGTACTTTTTGAAGGCAGACAGATCGATATAGCAGTCAATAGTAATCTGAATAATAAATACACGTATTATTGTGTGAAACAACACAATCTGATGGCGACACTGTTAGACAAATACATGTCCAGCTCGAGTGCACTGTTTATGTTTAACTTTGTTTTTAGCATAGTTGTAATGTTGTTGTTAATGTCTCGTCAAAAAAACAATGCATATTAGAGATCACATGTAAATTCGTATAAGCTTACCGTGTCCGCCTCCATGGCCATACCCTCCATTGCCATATCCACCGTGGCCGTAACTGTGCATAAATATGTACATAGTAAACTATTAATTTTAGGTATACTATTATATTCTATAGTCTTCATGGGTTATATATGCATACATATGTTTATGCATATACCGTCAAATGGGCAATTTAAGACTTAAGGCCAAACGCCTTGCTTTGGAGACGGTGTCCGTATACCTAGCTACTGTTATTGATTGGCAAAACTTACCCCTTTTCTTTATAGTGGCCCGAAGAGATTCCGAGGTTTATGTTGAGCTCCTTACCCGAAGCTTTATAACTATAATGGATAGAATCGGTGAATGAATTGAGAATGGATCGGTGTACGTGTATACAGCAGTTTCTCATTGTCTAGCCATTATTCTGGGTAATGCACACGTGGATGAATTTGTTAGATACGTCAGGTTTGAAAGACAAAAAACAATATATTTTTTTTTTATAGTGTATAATGGTTTTGTTGTGAGTCTATTCGTTCCATCCACTTCTTATCGTAGAAAGATTGTCAGTTAGTTCTATCAAGTTCAGATTGGACTTTGCAGTAAACTAATCACTGGACTAGATGGACTAATCACACGTAATTACGAAGATATCAACGAAGATAACAAATAGACGTGCTACTAAGCAGATACCTACATTTTTAGTAAAACGTGGAACTCTGCTTATCTCTAAAAGCCTACGTAAATTTCAGTAATACAACCCCTGGTGTCTCCTACTACAGCTAGGTCGAGATGAAGATTGCTCACACTGGATTTTTTTGCTAGTTGTTTTTTGCGGAAATGTCATTGTACATTGTCTAATAGAACGTTTTAGCAAGCAGGTAGGCAATGGAAAATTTGCGCTACTTTTTATCAGTTATTAAATGTTTGTTTTCGGTTTACAAACATCTTGCAGAAGATCGAATTGGAACCACTCAAATTTACCTGTTCCCGTAGCCTCCTCCCTTCAACAGTCGAAGTATACTTCTTTCCTCGGTTCCATTGTCTGATGCACCATCGGTACTGTTTGTTAAGGAGAGAAGTTCTTCGGGGTCGCTTGCAGTTGTAGACGTCGCTACTGAAGCATCGTCGGCTGATGCGGGGATCTTGTAGTATACCAAAAGTGCTAACGAAAACTGAAACATGTACACGCGTAAATATTTTGCGCTTTTAATAGCTAAATCTATATATAGTCGTAATTTAAGGAACGTTATTTATCTATGCATATTCTCAGAGAAGCAGCTTTGTTACCTCGTACTACTCGAACGTTTTTAGCTCAATTAGCTATTTTTTTTAAACTGTTCTAACGCTATTACTGCTGAGACTGTGACATGAAGGAAGTGATACGAGTCTTTTGGGATTACCTACTAGAATAGATGAGAATCGTACTCGCTGAACTAGTACAGGCAAACGTTTTCAACAAGACTGAAATGCCTATGAGAATATTCGAATGTGTGAGTGAGTACGTATCTCATGTACACCTTTCCCTTATCGAGTCATTTTTTTCAAGATGGATAGCTATACGAGTGCAGGCAGCTGTTGAAAATTCACCTATTTAGAGGTGATGAGGAATTTAGGTTTTCAAGAATGACTATCGCCGATAACGGGCAATGTACACTTCCTGTTGATAATTGCGTCATGTAAATTCGTTTGAGGAGAAGTATATGTGGAGGCACGAAGACTAATTCCGATAAGTCTTTCGTTGATACCATGTGTCAATCAGCAAACCAAGGGCAACTCTGAACTGCGACAAAAACAACGTGAATCTGCTGGGGGCAAAAGACAACTAGCTAGCGTAGCTGCAAAACAATGAAGCCATTTGCTATCGTCATGCCCAGAATAAAGAGATCCGCACATCGACGATTTACGTCGTTACCTACGCTGTCTGGTCTAAGGCGTCGATCAAGTGACAGTCCGTGCGATGCCATCGTCACAGGGGGAGATACGAGATATGTTAAAAGCTTCCATGATCAAAAAACGACATCTAAAATGGCCGTCTTTTATTATAGAGTGTTTCAACAATTTCTACTTTATCGAAAGTTGTTGATTCGAATTATGTAACGCTATAGAAGTCTACGCGTCTGTATGGAGCGCTAAAAATCTACTGAATCAAAAATATTTCCCAGAAGTCTGGAGGGACACAAAAGTTGAAGAAAGACCCTGCTCTTGCAGAAGCGCCAATAGGAGCTGCTAACACTGACCAAACAGCAATGAAAATTCTGTTAAAAAAAAAGTTTCATAAATTTTGGTAAGGTACGGTGCTCACGGCTCATGTCGTCGCCAATCTTTCCTCGTGGATAATTAATATTTGTTGACTGACTGTTAAAATATGACATCAGTCGCTTTGCATCTAGTATGAGCGTACCGTTTTATTGCAACAGTATGAAGATGTCATCATTCTTCTGTAAATTAGTATATGTTTTCCGAAGATAGACAGCCAAATGTTTTTTGTGCTGAACACTTATCGGGTATAGCTTGAAAAAGCGTGCATTGTCAAAAAAAAGAAACTGAATCGCTATTGCTATTGGGGCAACCTTTGATGGGCAACCATTGTTAGTGTGGCGTGCTACGCAAACGAAGAAAAAAACAATAAAGAATTATAAAACGAACGAAAACGTCACCAAATTATATAATATGTACTGTATTTTTCTACTGTGTTATAATTGCTTGCGTGGAAAACAAATGACAGTTAATCTTTCGAGCGAAATTTTTCCATAGGGTTTGTAATGTTAGTGGCTTACCAAAGGAAGTCTCATGTTCAAGCTGGGCCGTATTGCGCTGTGCAGAACACGCAAGACATTTTATAGCTACGTCATCTTGCCCGTACTCGCCAACAACTTCGCCCTTTCTCGTGTCTGGCGAGTGCTTTGCTATACAATCAAATGTCTCATCCCGAAACCTCTGCACGATTATGATCGACGGTTGACCCCCCGAGATAAATAAATGCCACACCTACATGCGTCTGAAGATGCGACATGAGAGAGCGAACGAGAGTTAAATTTGAGAATCGTCAAACGCGACGAAATATTCCATGGCGTTACTCGCATACATTTCCTTTTACCAGGAAAGTTGAGTTCTAATGGATATTTTATGGCGCAAAGGTGAATTAACTTCGATGTAACTTCAAATTCAATTGACGGGCGCCGGCCACTGTTAACCCTTGATTAAATAGTCCACCTTTATTACCTGCCTATAATTTGATCGGATGCTGACAAACGAACGTAAAGACACTGCGGTAAACGCGGACTATGATATTTCCTTTGACGAGGAGGAAATGTTTCCTTTCAAAAAGATTTTTCTTTCCTCTCTATCGAAATGATCCCGCTCTAGCTGACACATAAAGTGGAATAGGGGACGCGTCCAACTCGAACGCATCGAACATTTGAAATTTAGATAGAAAGTTCAATTAAATATGTAGATAGGTTCAACGCTAACAAAGAATAAACTTTTGAGAATTTTTCCGAGACTAGCGCCCTACCGTTCACTACCTAACCAAAAACGAAGATTAGGTTTTTTGATTTGATTTTATTTAATTAAAGCATAACAAACTTCAGCAAATACACAAACATAAGTACACTGGCGAGATTGTTGACAAAACCTTTTCAAACCCAGGCAACGCCAAGAGCGGCCTTTGGATAGTATAGCAGAAGCTAGGACGTCTGTTAATTTATGCCATCACAGCATTTGATACATTAACGATTTTTCGATTAGATAAACGAAACATTATGCCATTCTGCGTTTCTATAATACAAAATAAGAGTAGTCGTAGATGCAGTTGTCATATTGTAAAAGCATACTAGTAGAGAGCCTCTGTCAGAACGAAATTACCTATAGCAGGTAACACCATCGCTGTACATACAATATTGCACACCCATTATTAAGCTGTTTGTCGTTACGATGCGCCGTGTTTAGCCAGTTGAGACAGCAGTTTTTATGCTTTTTTAGAAATAATCTTGTAACAGCGAACTTTCTGCTCATAAATTGTCTAGCTGTAAGTTCTTAGTACCTCTGTTAAGTACCAAAATGAAATCGTCTGCTCTATACATTTCCTACTTACTTTACTAGAAACTATGTAGATGGTGATTTTCAAGCGTAAGATTCTCTGTAGCACGGGCTGAGGCATCGTCCCAAGGCAAAAATCGTACTCGTATTCTAATGAATTGACACTATCCAGCGTAAATAAATGTATATATAGTTATGGCTTGTACTCCATCCTTGGAAGGCACCGGTAGTTTAGACCTCGGCAAATATTCTGCCTCTGCGAAGGGTTTTCATCACAAAAAAATGTTTGACTACCATCCACCCCCGTGACCACCGCTGATCCCGCCTCCGTAACCGCTGGCAGACTCTCCCTGCTGGTATTCGCCTGTACTGTAACCACCTCCGTAGGAATTATGGCCTGAGCCCTGCGCGTGCGACGCGCCTGACACACTGCCAAAAGTTTCTTTCGTTCCGTAAGTTTCCTTGGTGCCGAACGTCTTCTGGAACTGCTGGCCGCCGGAATGCTGGTACGCGCTTTCGCCACCGTAGCCACCTTGCGAGTGGCTTCCAGCTTTATAGCCTAGACCGTAGGAAAAAATGACCCAATAATAAAAACGTCAATCAATGAATAGGCTATAATAATGGGCCATAGTGGTTCTCGCCATCTCATATTTTGGGCACTACGTAGGTTCGTGCCGATAAGTTTGGCTATTAATTAACGCTCGTCGGAACCAGCTAGTTCTTGCAGACAATCAATTTTTCTTTTTCATAACAACAACAATCTTTCAGTATAAATGCATGCATTAAACACATCCTGCCTGTAGCATACTGAAACGTGCTGCATGGTTTAGTATAGGGGATTACTTCGCACGAAAAGCACCGCAAATTATCGCGTTTCGATTCCGTAACAGTCAATGATCTACAAGTTAATATGACAGCATAGATTATATTCGTTTCGAAATAATTACGTAGAAAAGTTTGGGAACACGGTTTTCATTCTGCCTCAACAACTCTGACGACATAGCGAAGCCAAAAATGGCGTCTAGTGAGATCTAAATCTGGTCTAAGCTTTGCGCTAGTTACATCCATCTAATGAACTGTAGTACCATTTCTGAACAGTTACCGTTTAGATAGATTTGGATCCCAGCAAGAAGTTGTACCATGTAGAAAAACGGCTTTTTTAATTGTAACTCATAACATGCACTGCTGGCCATGAGCTTGGCCAGAGATTGGCCGCCTTGATAAGGCCAATGCTTTACACGCTTCTCATCCAAAAGAGATTCTGTAAGTATCGTATGATAATTGGGACACGCTTTTGGCACGAATGATTAACAAATAGTCATTTTTTTCGAAGCTTGTTTACGGTGTTGCAACGTTTTGCTAGTCACCTGCGACCCCTTAAATTCTATATGATAACTCGGTATCTTCCTCTGGATTTCGATTGTGATCTGTTTCCGTAACGTAACCGGCTGATTAATGAGCCAAGGAAAAGGCTTCTTTTACGAGAATGTAAATTGAAACTGCGAGGGAATTTGTGGAAAGCCATTATTTTCGACGTCCCTTTGAAATCCGTGCTCGCATTCATGACTACTCGCACACACATTTACACCGAGGAATACTTAAAGCAACTGGTTTGCATGCGAGACTATTTACATTATTCTGAAAGAACAAAAGTCCTACCTGCCGCAACTTGACTTGAAGTTTGCTTTGTTATCTATTGAGAACGTCAGGCTGGTTTTGAGCTTGTCTATGTTACTGTTTACCCTTATACCTATACAAATGCTTATATACAGTGTTACAGGGTAAGTTTACCTGCTGTATGGTATCCTCCGCCGTGACCCTTGCCGTAACCCCCGCCTTGACCCCCGCCGAAGCCCCCGCCGAACCCCCCACCTTGACCCCCGCCGAAACCCCCGCCGTAACCTCCGCCTTGACCCCCGCCGTAACCCCCGCCGAAACCTCCGCCTTGACCCCCGCCGTAACCCGCGCCTTGACCTCCACCATGACCGTATCCTCCTGCAAATCGACAAAATGCAATCATTATAGATGAGCTGTCGTTGACGTTGGAAGTTCTTCCCTCGTTAGAGTGGTTTTCACTTTCCATAGAAAGAGCGATAGCGACCTTAACGATACTAATCAAAATGCCCAATCATTCTATTAGGCCAATTTGTACTACCCACCGCCGTGTCCGTAGCCATGACCACCTCCGCTACTGTAACTGAAATAACAAAAGTGGAATGTATTAGTTTATGAACGAAACGTAAATTTTTTTTAAGAACGTCAGTTCATAAAGAAAGATATTGTGCTTAGTTGCTGATTAATTGTGTACGCAGTGAGATGTTCCCGACTACATCCTAACATTTGGCATCGTTTGCTAAATGGCCTTATTCTACATGAGGCTCACCCCCCTTCCTTGTATCCACCAGCAGACAGGCCGAGATTTACACTAATACCACCACCGCCAGCTTCATAACTGAAAATAAAAGGATGTGAATAATATGAGCTATGTAGGTTTAGTACTACGGGTAAATGACAAATGCTTGGTAGAAACGGACCTGTTGGATTCAAATGATGGCGGGGCCGCTTTAAAAACAAAGGAACTTCTCATGTAGTCTTACAAACGTAGCAGTTTCTATGAGCTTTAATAATGTTATCTGGAAGATCGGCCATTCAACGAACTAACGCAAAATAATGGATTAACCAGTCAATTGCTTTTGATTAACTTGACATAATAGTATTGTGTTTTTTGACTCTGCTTGACATCTTCCCGGGCTTACCCATGTCCGTAGCCGCTTCCTTTCTTTAAGAGCAGATGGAGGAGTCCTCGTTCTTCAGTGCCATTGCCTGTGCTGTCGCCGTTATCTGTTAAGGTTCCACTGGCTGGGGTCTCCGACGCTTTTCTGCTCACTGCCTTACTCGCATCTGTGCCGACGTCTTTTTCTTCGAGAACCACAGCACCTGACGCAATTGAGGGCTTATCTGATGACGCGGAGTGCGCACAAAGTGCGACAATCGCTACTTTAACGACCTTGTTGGCGGCATGATATATTATGGGGCGTCGGGAGGGCGAATTCGCAACAAGAGTTGTTAGTAGGATCCACAGAGGCCAAACACGATCTTTCAAATTTTCAAAAACGTCAAGTTTCAGGCAGTACGCTAATAAGCTTCTTATCTGCGCGCCTAGCGAGCCTTAGAAATGCTCTCGTGATAAGTGAGCATTAAATAAGGAGATTTTGTTTAGTGGATACCATTTCGACTGACTCGATTAACATGCAAAGCCAGAAAAAACCGTAGTTATGTTTCTATCTTCCACAAGTATTACTTCGTATTAATGTCCGGTTCAGGGTCGTCGGATCAAGACACGTCGGACATGAGCAACAGGGCCGATCTGTCGGAATAGTCATCATCTACCTACCTTTACGGGAGTCTTCGAAATCTCCCTCATTTCATGTCTTCTGTTTACTGATAGCAGCGCTTCATCGCGCAGTGACTCAAGGAAATCACATAATAATTACATATATAATCCTAGTTTTCACACATCACGATCAGACAGCGTTGCGATGGGCATCGTCTTCGAAAAGAGCGAAAATAATTCCGAGAACACTGTTTCACTTCAAAGTAAGGCTGATTCATTCTATTTATATTTTTGTCAAACACATCAACATGACAGCTACTGCGTTGTCGCTTTCACAACGTAATCCTCCGAAGCTTGTTTCCAGTTCATTGGATTATTTTGGAACAAGTAATGTAAATTAGCAACTGCCATGCCAATGACATCATGGTTGAAAAAACTTGTCCTTACACTAAGTTACAACTGCCGATCAAGTCAGCGTTAGCGCGTCTTGCAAACGCTACGCGCTTAGCATAGACCGAAAATCAAATTTTAACTTACTCCAACATTATATTTAGGAAAAATGTCCACTCTTTTTCCTTGCTATCTTTTTTCCAAGAGAATTCAATGTTTCTGGATATGCGCTCAATCCTGTACTTGTAGTTTGACACATGTGCTCGAATACGCACTTCGAAAATTTTAAAATTAATAGTGACTCATTATTAGCTAAATTGCTCGCCCTGAGGGGTATCGACGGTGTAATAATATGCCTTACCAGAAGTAGCTTCATCTTGGTATTCTTCAGTCTTAGTTTGACGCCAACTATGCTGCGAACCTTTATATTGACGCGGCGTGATGCCCTTTCCTGGTGGCGTTGTCTCCGCCCCTGGTATTCCCTCCGTTGACTACTGAATGAACCAGAAAAGCGGAAACTTATCAATTGTCGTCTGCTGTCCGATCTAATTGAGTTGTGGGTTTTACCTGAAATTTTGGTTCGAGATTTATTATCGTTTTCAATGGCCCTTCCATACTGTTTACGGGGGTGATGGCAAAATCATAGCACAATTTTATCTCAAAATTACGCTGCTGCTAGAATCACGAGTGAAAGAACAATGTACCTATATGCTAGATGGGTCTCGAGTTAAACGTATAATTTAGTCAGTCGCAAAAAAAATGATTAAATCATAAAGTTGCATAGCTTTCTGAAATGATTAGGACAGTTATCAGAAGAATCATAAGGCACCCTATCCTGCGTTCTGCAGAACGGTGGCTGTATGACCATTATGTGCCCCCAACAATATTGGATCACGGAACTTGAATTATTTTTATCAACAGAGATGTATTGATATCCGATGTTCATCGAAAAACCTCAAAGTATAATTCTTGATTGGTTTAGTAAATGGTAACACGAACACATCATCTCAGATTGAATTACGAACAGACAGATGATAGCTTAATCATGTTTCATTAAAACGTACGAGTTAATTTTTTTTTAATTTAAGTTAAGTTTATAATTTTCGTTATTTAAGTTCGACACGCGGTACGGTAGCTGCAAGTTCCTATTAAAATTACTTCATTGCTTTCGTAAGTCACTCATAAGAAATCAACTTTCACGAATGTTGCCGCCACAATCGCTGGTTCATCTGATTAGCGTTTTTACTTTGGCCTGATTATAGAGATCGGCCTCAAGTCCATGTTTTTGCTCGTCTGATATACAGCTTTGTTTTGTTCTTTCGAGCTATAGAATGCATCCTCCCCGGGCGATATCTTTTCTTTATACAGCCGTAAATATTCGTGTATAGCTAGGACAGAATACGCGTTTCCCATAACCATGATGGGGCGACAATAGATCGGTGCAACTGGATCAATTGCTAGATTTGTCAATATGCAGCGTATAGTGTCTTATGAGCAAACACTTGTCTGCTTCGCTGTACATATTGTAGACCTCGGCCTCTGCAAAGCTTAACTGACCTCTGTGTAGTTTTTACTGTGTTTAGATATTTCAAGGACCATTTCGTCTGATCCATATGCGTACTGAACAGTATGATTACTTGAATTTTCCTAAAATGCGTTAATTGAGAGGTTTGCAATTACTGAACGCCTCGTTTAAACTATATAGCTGTCGACATATCAGTTATTTGAAAAACAATTTTGTGGCACAGAAAATCTGTACACGTACATAATGTTTACTGTGAAACATTACTAAAGGATGATAAACATCTGACGAATTTGCTCGTTGCCGCTACAAGATACGCGCCCACTATCATGCATCTGCTACGAATGGGGGCAGTGAGCGTGGCTGGAGGTGAAAGAAGCGCGACCTTCGGATCTGCTTCGTCGAAAGTAACTGATCTGCACTATCGTAGACGGGATATTCCTCAAACCATATAGGTGTAATAGTGAAGTCAGAATTGATTTTCCTTTGTCCTGTGTTTCTTTCTACGTAATCGAGTGACTCAGATGCTTAGATGGAAAAGTACCCTCAACACATTTCAGGTTTGCTTGATACAGCCATACCTAACAGTCTTGATCGAGCAGTAAAGTTTAAGCTTGAACGCCCTAATTTTTGTTAACATGGACAAAGCAAGGGTAAAATGAAAATCTCTGCGCTAGTAAATGAAGCTAGGCACACGTCATGGTTTCGGTTCGAAACGGAGCGTAGGTACGCTTTGTTTCGTGTTGGAAGTCAACCGTTCGTTGAAGCAACGCTTTATTACAGCAGTAGACGTAAAATTCGAAAAATTCAGTCACCTTATTTAGGACTGGGCACTAATTCGAAAATTTGCATTACTTTAATTCTCCATGCCCATCTCGCTTTTGCGCCCCCACTCCCCGTTCTCCGCAGCAACTGGTATTGTATATTCGATTAAAACTGCTAGTCATCTTTGTAAGTTACGGCTAGTTTTACAAATTACTAAATGCGGCGGGTGTGCTGTCTTTATACTATACGTTGATAGACGTCGTTTCAGGAAGCAAATCTATGCGGGTTAACCAAGTTTGAAAACAGGCTAGAAACTGCATTTTACATTTATGTATGATACTGCCACTGATTTCGCACAAGGATGCTGTAGAAATAATCATAACCAACGGTCTAATATAATTCATACAATATGAAGCCATGAATAGGATTTTCGTTCTTAACAGAGTCGTATCTGTTGGGAGTTACTGCAGTTCATGCTTAATGTCAATCGGGTAAAGTGCGTTCTCTTCAATAAAAAGCTTCGAAGGAGCTCAGTTGATACGGTTAATCTGAGGATCTCAAAATCGTTGCGTCCCAAGAAGCGTGGGTAAAGTGATTAAGTAAAGGCGTGTTATCGTTTCCTGTGTGTCCATTGCTTAATCGTTACGTAATGGTAAACATCAGTTAGAAAATCATGAGACTGGTCAACTTGAATAGAACATTTGAAGAGCAACAAAAAAGCAGATAGATGTTGGAGTGCATATTTTAATAGCATCAGTAACCTGTATTCATGATACGGTAGATTTCGACTCAAAGACACCATCTAGCGGTAACAACTCAAAGAATGAGCATCGTTTTTTCGAGCTCTTTTAGATATCTTATGCCGGTTGCTGTTGCAACTTAATCATATTATAGAAGTTTAAGTAGAGCCTTACATCATCGTACATCACGTCTGTCATAATAACGTTTCGCGCAGCGTCAATCTCCTGCAGAACAAAAAAAATCTCTCAGATAAAATCTTTTCGAATAAAAAATTGAGATCGACTCTAACCGAGACAGAACCTTTCGATTAGATCCATTAAATGGCGTACTGCGCTTTCGAATTCGTCTGATTACATGGCCGAACTCTCCTATCAGAGCAGTCAGTTATTGGCTAGATTCGGAATTGCGTCAAGCTTTGATTGAACCGCACAAGTGGCAAAGTACATGTTGGTGCGCCAGCTTAAACCAATGTCCCCTGTCTCTTTTGGCCAGGAACATAGCAGATTAGACCATCGCCAATTGAATGACGAGTTGATTTTTTGCCATTTGTGTACAGATTGGTATTACTATGACAACGGCTTGGGCCGGGTCTATTAACAAAAGTATCACAAAAAAATGTGCTTGCTACGCTTCTGGAATAAATGAGTGGTACAAACGCACCGTCGATCTTTTTAACCTCACTCAAAGCTAAGCCGCGAAACAGGCATTCAAAGTCTATTTTTTAATAATATTTGCAAGTCCTTTTGCGTAAAATATGGCAAAGTTCGTCGTAATGACGCAGGATCTAGGGCCTGTCGTATGAATGCATTTTACGAGAAGCAGTGAACAATGACAAACGAAGCAAGGCCATTCAATAAGGCGCAATACAAAACAAATTGTAAAACATTTTTTGTGTGCATTATGGGGTGCAATGTTTTCGCGACGCTCTGTGATGCATTGCTTCATCTTAGCTACGATATCTTGTTTAGGAGGACCGCGAAGGGTGGTAAAAGTCAGGCACTAACAAATTAACTACTACTACAACTTTACCAACGAACAATCTAGAGCGTACAATTGGAACAGATAAGGACAGTTGCGGAAAATTTCTAGCTAATATTACTTACATCTTCGTATCCGGGCACACAGCATGAGCTCCTCTTATGGTCAAGTTAGATACAAGTTTCATCTAGATCAGATCCATAGTCATAAATCTCTAGGCGCCTTTTTTTTTTACATTTAACTGAATGCCACTTCACCGAAAAATAAATGCGGATATTATACACATTGTGCGTAGGAAACAAGAGAACAAACGGTGGCTTTCCTACAGTCATATCAATATCACAGCAACTTGCTACTCTCGCTTCAGCATTTCAGTTTCAACAGCCGAACGAGGTAAACGAGGTTGTAAATGTCTGAGTACAATACCTCACCCCGGTAAGATAATACATGCATTATTTGGGCAGGTCACGGTCGTATACAGTTCCCAACAATACTCAGAGTATGATTAACTAGTCTCACATTTCTTCGACCCGTTTCCTTCGTCGTGTAATGGATTGAAACCACTAACGCTAGACAGATATCCATTTCTTCCTCTAACAAAGGTAAATTAGACTCACACATTAGATATATTGCATAGAAATACGCTTGCGCATATTGAGGAAGTATATACTCTGGCTCAAAGTCTAAAAACTGAGTGACTAATATCTATACTGCACCTTGTGCTGCTGGTCTCTGTCGAAATTCTGCACAAATAGCAATGATGATATGATAATTAAATTTTGCATCGTCTTGCAGTGTCCTTCTTAAAAAAGTTGCTACAGAGATCGTGCTTGAACTTTACCTGTAGTACATGTACGAGAACAACAATGTAATAGAAATACTAATTGACACAAATGAAGGCACTAGAAATACAGTACGATAAAGGGCGGGTTTATTTAAGTTAAGGTATTACATGTGAATAGGTCCCCTGGGAAACGGTGCGCTTGCAATTCCAGCGCCAGACCTCTTTCGGGCCGGGATGAATTAACATCTGGTCGACTCGTCACCACGGTAATCGGCAATTATGAAGTACGGAAACACAGAACTATTCTCATCTTCAGTCATAGTAAGTGGCGCGATTTTTCAAAACGGCGACGTAATTAAAGTATGAAACGGGTGTGGTTGATGTGAAAATCTGACGAGAAGCAATAACTGAAAGCGAAGCGCATCTTTATAATTAGTGTTTTGATGTTCGTTTTTGTTCTTCCCCATTTTATGAGGCTCTTTCCAATGTTGCCAATTGCATCGCTGCAGCATTGATATCCGATAGACGCAATGCTCTATACATTTTCAACGGAAGTCTATGCAGGTATCAACTAAACAACAACAATTACCTATGCAGGTCGTGAAATATCGTTTTGAAGCTCTCCGCTCATCATACGACATAGAGTGAAGCATTTTCGGTTCAGCACCGAAACGCACGTTGGAGCTGTTGCCAGTATTATACGATATGGCGTTTTTCTGGGGTCATAATATACACCAGGCCAGGCTTGTATATAATACAATGTCCGGTTTGCTTTTTTTTTGATAAAACGGTCAGAGTACAATTTGTCTGAACTCTGGCACATCTTTATTTTTCAGATATACGAAAACATTACTCTAACTTCGCGAACTTTTGACGCACTAATTCCTACCCGCTGGATAACAGTGAAGAAAGCCACAAGGTCCTTTCCATTAGATGTAAAAACAGCAAAGTAGTTGAAAAGCAGTTTTTTACGCAATCCGTTTTATAACAGAAAAGATCATATAAAGAAACATTGTCAAAAATCATTCTGTAAATAGATTTTCACTGTAAATAAACAAAAAGAAATACTTTTTGTTAGAGCGCTGTTCGTTGAATTTATTGCGGGAGCCGCCAACAAGCCTGTCCATGTGGCCACTGCTATGAACAGAAGCAGTGCCGTCGTTCGCTGGAAAGAGGCGGTCATATTGAAATAATGAATTTTCGAACCTTTTGATGGTATATGAGTCCTGTCGCATTTCGTTTGCTTGGAAGTGCTTACATAGTACACTGGGTCTTGTAAGAAATGCTAATTGCCAATTGAAAGAGCCTTAATTATATTCACGTAACTTAATATCGTTGCGAACTTGCAAATCTAGTATAAAATGGTTTGGATCTCCTTGAATTTTGATTGATAAAAACATAATTGTATACTCATAAATATGTAACAAAAGCTGGGTTTGAGTTCCGATATACGTCCGAAATAATTGGAAAACGTTGCGATAGTGGAAAGTACTTAGCACAAGTTTTTATATCGTACACAAATTGAACAAAACAGCTGAAAAAATTGCAGGGAACATTCTTTTGCAAAAAAAAGATTCCTAAACCTTTCTACTTACCGGATGCAATGGCCTATTCGCCATCTGACTCGAGAATCCTTAGACACTAACAATTCTTTAGATTTTGTCGGTCTGACCTCTATCAATGGGTCGTCATGAATAGTCGTCGCATCCACGACCACTTTAGCTTGTCCCTGACTGAGGTCTGTTCGTTCTGCGTAGCGGCCGCGGACCCTCCCACAATCGCCGCCGGCCTCATCTCGCCTGATTCCCCCTGTCGAGCTCGATGACAGCCCGACTATGTGCCCGCTAACCGCATGATATTTACGCTGTTTCGAGTGGGACCAGATGCCTTAATCTATTCGGTGGTGTTCGCCTTGTCGTTCAATAATGTCATTCTCGATGATTCGTCCACCCCCTCCCCCCTGTCTCTCTGTTTGTCTTTCTCACTCGTTAATATTAAGACCCTGTATCCTGTTTGTTAGATCTAGTTAGTAAGTGCCATGGCCGTGAACCGTCGAACCAACAGGCAGACCTCCTCTGCTCATGCGTACTGAAACAACGTTATTTATCTGTGATTTCGTAGGTCGTCTGAGTGCGAACTACATCCACTTGACAGGTGGAGGCCTTCTGCTAATTGAACAGATTTCAATTAGATCTGGTCTTACATAAGAATGTAAATAAATATCGATCTATTTCCCGCTGTCTATCGGAATCTCTACTGAGAGAAGAAATATATGTTTTAATGTAAGTATGACATGTAATGTTTCATAGGCGGTCACTTATATGTCGGTGTCGGCTTATCTAATATGTCTTATGTGGGCTATTATGGTATTTCATCCTTTGTCTTAGCTGCCAGTATCAATATAGCGGTGAACGCGTTGTTCGTCTCTTCGCGTCATCCGCTGTCAGAGAGCTTTGTCGGTACTTGTGATTTTTGAGGAGGTTAGATTTATATTTGTAAACAGCTTTAGCCTAAATTACCTTAACGCTCAGAGAGTTTGTATTGTTAAACAAATAAAATAAATGGGCAAGCTATTGAAATAAAGAGTAGGTTTAACTGTCGAACCTATTCGCGACAGAGATACTCTAATATTATCCTTATAATTCCTATATTACTATGTTATGATGCTATAGAATTAGTATTTGTCCAAAATTGAATAGCTACAGCAAGTAGCTACAATGATAATTGAAATAGTTTTATTGATCAATGCTAGGATACCTCGTAGTACGTTTAGAGATACCACTAATTTACCCTATGACGAATACGCTACTGCACGCGAGAATCTGCAGTTCCTACTGAGTTTCCCCGGCTACTTCTAATAAGTGTGAAATAAGCATTCTCCTAATCTCTGAGAACCATCCGCCGCAACCTACGTATATGTAGATGTATGAGGTCCGATAACTTTGATAGATTTCAGTTAACTCTCTAATAAGCTCTATCCGATGAAAGGTTTTACTTCGAAAATCTTATGCTTCTAAAGGCCTATTTTCAAAATCAAGAATCAAAGATTTTCAAATCAATTCATAAAGGAATTCGCAAGGACGTGTAGTCCGCGAGATATTCACTTGCTAATAAAATACGCAATTCACAATTTATACTTTATATGTCCGAATACTTTAGCTACGTTTAAGATTATGGGAGGATATAATATTGGAGAACGATGAGGTATATGGTACATTTGTCTCTCTACTATATCTTACATCATCTACTTGTAGGAGAATGTATTGGTATATTGCTAATGTTAGTAGGACAAAAACTCTTCATTTGGCTAGAGTCTTTTTTCGGGCCAAAAGTGTACGATCGCAAGTAGCGAGCCTTGTGAGCTTAATATGCCAGCTTAATATTATACATCATACAAAAACAACAAAGACAATACCAAAGATGCCGCTTCTGCTTGTCCTCGCCGATTTCGTCTGTGTCATAAGTTTCGTCATAAGTTAAAAAGACCGTGTTTTTTCAAATATGGTTTTTACGCTGCTGAGGTTCACGGAAAAAGCCAGCCACATACGTTTTTCGAAATTATTCCGGTGAATTTCTATTGTTAATCGAAACCTTTAAAATAACGCTCATTAACAAAAAAGCTTACCATAAATAATGGGATCTTCTAACAGGCAACGATAAGTTACTTTGAAACGAAATGTAGTCGAGCGAATATAAATGGATTGCGAAATTGTCTCATGAGCATCGAAGTGGCTGCGTAAATGCGGCTTTGTCGCTTACGTTGTAAGATGGTGTAAATTATTATCGTACATAACATATTAATTTTGTATATCTAATATGCCAATTACAAGACAACGTATATAGGGAGGTAAAGCTATTTCTTTTTCTCATATATACTTTTTAATCTGTTATATATATATATATATATATATATATGCATATTATTGGTCCTTACAGTGAGCAATTTGCTTCTTTTTGTTGTCACCGCTGGCATCTGAGGACAAGCTAAGTTAATCCTCAGAAGCTAAACGTTTTCAACACTTCATTAGTCCGTTTTCGAATTTTTATCTATCTTCGACAAAAAGTCGAAGATAGATAAAAATTAATAACGAATTAATATAACAAATATTTTTATTCAGCGTCTTTTTTTTATTCATTAGTGACTGAACTTTTGTGACAAAAATTACTACTAGGAGGTTTTCAATCATTAGATCTTATTAGGATTCCGTTTTTCTCATATAAGTTTTACGCCGCTCAAAATCAGACACGCTCGAAATAATCGTCCTTGTTTGGTGGAGTTTTATTGCTTTTACGTCGACGTCAACTTCGCTGCTGTTGTTGTTACTATTGTTGTTAATTTCTGCAAGTCTATGCTTATTTCATGCATCGTTGGCTTTGCTGAGCCAATTTTGAGGAGCTCACTATGAAGAAGACGACTATGCTTAACGTCCGTAGAGTCCATAGCCTCCAGTATTGTATCCGCCATAATTTCCGTAAGAGCCAGCCTAAGCAAATTAGAAAAATTGTCGCGTCAGTAATTGCTATGACTAATTTTCTACTTATTTTTTTTTTTAACTTATTAGCTAATAAATCTTTTCTGTAAGAATGCATTTTTTTCATTCGATGAGAGAAAGGTCCCTTTTTCGATTTTTTTCAAACCGCATAGGAACCTTTAGCTGCATACTGGGTCTTAACCCATTTGCGAACGCAGACTGAATTGTCGTCATTTACACCTTTATGACTTTAGCTCTATCAGTAGGAACTGATTATTAAACTAGTAATTTCCAAAAATGTACATTCGGTTACTATTTTGGCTAAGCAATCCTGTTATGAGTCGGCTCATTCCTCGACGACGATAATGATTGTTGACGAAACCCACTGCTATATTTGCTTTGTCAATGTACAGTAGAACGCAAAGGTACGTTACAGCGCTTTAGCGCTCATTTTGCCCATCGGCTTATTTCATACCAAACGCATTATAACAAGGGCTTGCGATAAGCGTCAGCTGAAATAGTAATCAACTAACTGAAGTCCCCATTCCCTCCCATGCTAAAATATTTTGATGCACATGGAGTTAGCAAGTGCGATTGCTACTATTGAACGGTAAACGATGAAGAAGCGGTTGATCAGAACAAACCTTTTTAACCGATTCATATTGTTCGCCATAGCTAGCGTCATAACCGAAGCCTCCGAGTCCTCCGTAGCCACCGCCGTAACCTCCATAACCTCCACCCAATCCGCTGGATCCTAGTCCACCGAAACTGGTGTCTATGGATTCTTTTTCATCAAACTTCTCTTGTACTTCAACAAAACTATCAGCGCGAGTGTCTGCTGCACCACCTTCTACGAACCCTCCACCAGGAACAAGAACCTCTTGGCCGAAGGCACAGGCCGCCGCGGCACAAAAAAGAACGATCTTGATCTTGTAGAAATGGAGAAATGCAGAGCAAAATAACATACGAAGTTCATGTTTAAAAAATTGGTAGATAATTATGGTCGAAGTCCTCAAGTATAGATTGTGTCGGGTAAGGTACAGCCGTTGTACCTTTTTTGGTGAAGCACACCTAATGGTAGGTTAGCATTTACTTAATCTTAAATGGTACAAAGGTTGCGGCAAGCAATATGTGTGAATATACGAAGGCAAGGGCCAAACAAGTTTTCTCATTCGGCGCCTATTTATAACATGTGCTATATACAATTAAGTTGAGCTTCCATTAATAAACAAGTAAAGAGATTTTTCAGAGCTTATATAGTGTACATTAGTATTATGCTGAAAGAGATGTAAGGACTTGCGTATATGTATCTATGTTGTTGCTAATTGCTTTCCGTTCGTTTCGCTGATTTGCAAGAGCCATATGAACACCCTTGATTGACTAGAACAGCTACTTACCATGTAGGCCATCGTCGTCATCAGCAGATAGTGTTAGTATACCTACCGTCCATTGTACAGCCTTTTATTTGCCAGGGCGACTAATCTTCCAGTCCATAAAGTTCTTCCTTTGACTGTGAGAGAAGACGAGTGCAGCACCGCTCGCCTATTTACTGCCGTCTATTCAAAAGGCCCTACTATTCTAACATGCCAGAACAACAGAAGATCCTTTACACGCACATATAATATCGTGTACGTTCCACTTCTCAGCCACTAAGCTGGACTCTTATTTCTTACCTCTACACGGTTGTTTTTTTTTTAACAATTTTTATTGCTGACTCCTACCTGCCCGTTTACTAGCTTATTTGCGGTGTATTCGTTCAAATGCATATGTAGCCATTAATTAGGAGCGAGATGTGTGTTCTGCTACGTTATCGAACATCATGAAACGGAAAGCGTTGACGCAACATTACGCTCCCCACGGTCACATTAAACTATCTGTTTTTGTGTCCGTGGTGCGACTGCAACACTTGCCGGCGTTCGTAAGGTGGCAAGATAAGGGGTAACCACAGTTTCGCGTCACTTGAGGATGAGACATGCCGAGGAAAAACCCCACGAATAGCCCTTTTACGTCGATATTCTGCGAGTTAAATAAGTACACTACAAGTAGCTGACATAACATAGCCGAGGTCCGCTCGCAACTGCTCCGTAAAATAATAGAGAGTAAAACAAATATCACAGACAGTCGATGCAGGTGATCCATGCGAGATACCCACTGGTCCACATGACCATTCTATAGAAGTTGATGCGTCCTGCAGCAAAATGACGTCTCAAAACACGGCGAAAGTACAAACTGTTAGAGATCCGAACTGTGTTTAGCGTGGCCTATCACATATGACGACGTCTACGGTAAACGAAGTATAGAAGAAACCTGCCAATAGTTTCTAGTCGGTTTTTTTTCCATAAACAGGTTATTCCATATATTTTTTTAAAGAAATTATCTTACATAATTATTAACTTTATGAACTAATTGATCGAGTGCGCAAGCCAAAACAGTTCAGATATATCTGGAAAATCAAATTAAAGTCGGTGACAGTACACATGGAGTCTACAATTTTCATGTTGTTTTTTTTTAATGCAAACGGAACTAATCCATGCTTTAAAAATACCGTATGATGCTACATAATGACATGGCAAAAACTTTGCTCATTCAAATAAGAATATGCATACGTGTCAGGGTTACGCTACGAACCTACTAAACGTGCTGTAGTTTTTGGATTTGTTTAAAGGCTAAAGTTCATTGGCTATAATTTAGCCGGAAAAGATTTTCCTCCCTATTCTTAAATAGGATATAATTACAATTAGGTTGGCTAGACCAGTTCTTCGTAATTTAGCCATAATGATGTCCTAGCATCGAGTCCTTTGAAACAGATATCTATGCTTAATGCGATACCAGTGAGAAGCCCAGAAAATGGATCTTCATTGAAAGCAATTATTAAAAATACTATTGAAAAAAAAAAAAAGAAACCCAGAAGAACAAGTTTTCAACCAGCTTTAGAAATTAATATTTCGAGAACTGGATTTTTACGACGTCAATTTGGTGCCAGTGTGGATTTTTTCTATTTGCTAAATTTAATGAGTCGAATTATGTTTGGGTCAGCAAAATTCTGTTTTCAATTTCGTTAACAATATAATGTAAACAATACATCCATCATTTTGCAGATGCGTTACAGTTTCCTAATTAATTTACATAGCATATTATTCTTTTAATATATCAGGGAATAGGCCGTACGAATGACATTTGTCATTGCAAACAGTTACTCTATTTAAAGTAATTTTAGGCCAAGAAGAACCGATGCGGTGAGATTTTAATGATATCGGAACATCATTTACTAAGCAACAGGTGACACAGGAATTACCAATTGGCCTAACTATGTATCTACCTACTGTTGGTAAGAATGGAGTGGAACAACTATTTGTGTGGAGTAGTAACGTCAAAGTTTTTACTTTTTTTTTCTTTGTTTCCTTTGCTTTTTGTTACTACCTTGAATATTCAAAATCATCTGTGTACCGTGGGAAAAATCTAAGAGTTGCGCTGGACTAACAAACATGCTTTATTTTTTGCTTAAAAAATATTTTTCACTTCTAATGAATTTTATTATTTAAGTTCGGGGAGTCTATAAACACGCGAACTATTGTCAGACAGTAGGGCGTAGTTCGTATCCTAAGTATCATACGAAAAAATATTTATGCTAAGCAATATGCCGCACGATGTATCTAACTATAATTATCAGCGTTAAAGTTTTCTTGAACAGCCTGTAAAGGCTTGTTTTTGTGATATTTTTTTTCGACGCACGAATATGTGTGTTTACTCTAATTTGTTTATTTTCAAAAATTGTGTCTAGTTACCGTAAAGGTATTATTTCTAACAAAAGTCGTTTTTGTATTATACGTTTGTAGTTCGAACCTCAGTAAGCAACTAAAAGCTTTATTTATATTTCTTAAAACTTTGCCAATCGCACAGTGAACTAGTAAATGCACTTTCTTTTTTCTAACACGGGGGCTCGGGGGGCAGATAGCACCGGATCAACACAATCCTTAGATAGCTATCTTTTAAAAAAAGCACTAAGATAAGTATAGGTGTGAAGTTAACTTCAAGAAACTTGAAATGTTCGATTTTCTCTTAACTTATCATAGCACAGTGCGCCGTAGGAGAATATACGGAGAGGTAACTATTTCTCTTGAAGTGATTTTAGTAACAATATACGCAGTCATGATAAACGTTACGTAATGCGCACATTGGCGTATGCTTGCCTCGGTCGAATGATTTATTGCAGGATCAGCTGTAGACGACGGCACGTGAAACGATATTGCATTAGCTGGCCTCCAGGAAAAAAGGAGCCGAGTACAGCGATGATGCTGATGATAAACACAGTTCACCACACAATTCTAGTTTCTGAAACACGGTACGTAGGACTTATGCAGTTTTGCCAGAATATGGCGAAACGAAATAATAACTGATGAGACGGGCAATCTGGATAGAATAGTATACAGGATACTATCTGACGTAAGATGGAGATCACAAAAACAGAGGTATCCAAAGCGGAAAAAATTTCATAGAAGATTTACACAATCATTTAATCAGTCGAAGAGCTTTCGCCTACGTAGGGAAATCTTACGTAGAGAAAATTCTCTCTGATTTTCGATGCTAAAAAAGCTATCCAGTCAACAATTGCTAGTTTATAAATGGAGAGTGCTTTCGGACGGGAGTACGAATCCAGGATGGATCCACGAGCAAAAAAGCGGGAGCAGTGAGCATTCTGTCCAGTACGTATATATTCGATCTATTTTTCCATATCTTTAATCTTTCTAGAAAGATGGAAATTGCAGATGTTCTTCTTTAGTTTCTATGGAGCCATTGAATATCTAGTCACTATAATGTGCACGGATGAACCCTAGCAAAAGTAGCTTCTGAAACTACCTTGTCCGGCTTTTAGAGTACTCTCAATTTGAGTCCATTTCCTAAGTAAATTCAATGCAGTTCAATAAAAAGTACGATTGTTTCCTTCATTGGCTTCTAAACGGAGCTTTTTTTTGTCATCGAATACTGCCGACTACAAGTTAAGGTAATGACAAGGAAGAGGTCATCGTTTAGAAGTCATGAACTGACTGTACTTTGAGGGCAAACACTTCAGAATAACGCCCTACAAAATGCCACGGCGTCAGTTAAACCGACAGCAAGAGTCCCATTCTGGTATGCCATTTGGAACTCGTTTCATGTCACCTCCCCTGTTTGTTGCGTTGCAATCACTGTCCCATTTCTATTCTAACGGAGAGCTTGAGTGATATGCAGTTACTAGATTATATATAAGATGTTAAATAATACTATATATTGTACATTATAGTATACTCCAATCCAAAAGCATAGCAAAGTTGTCCATTCGACCTGTACGCTGCCGAAACGGTCTATTTTACATACAAGATCTATGAAGCTTTTCTTATATATATGTATATTTGTTTTGGGCAAACTCGATTTGTTGCTCATGTCATATTTACTATAGTGTATTTTCATTAAGTCAAGCCATAACCTAAATATTTAACAAGCCAAGCTAAGTTTACATACGTACTGTAAAAACGAAAGTCGTTAGAGTTATTCTTAAGATGATCTTTGCGCATTAAATACACATTCAGACGTTAATAGGAGCAGATAGTAGGACTATGAAAAAAGTTGTATACCCGTACTTAACCTGAATATAATCGTTCTCGACTCCTCTTGTCGCCTGTATTATTTGTAGCGATTGCCTTATCCAATGAGCTTTAGTTCAATTGATTCAGCGCGCCGAGTTTCAAACTGACTACGGCTATTGGCAAAATGATTCAAATCCCACATATAATAGTTTTCTTTTGCAAAAGCTAGAATCCCTTGACTTGAACATGTCCCGCCAAAGAATGGAGCTATAACGTTGCTTTCTTCTCGCTTATAATGGAATGCATAACGACAGCCAACACAGACAGACTTCACAATGTTTCCCGCAAGATATTTATCGTAGGAATAACTAATTATTAACGGGAACGATTCCCGTTGCCGTATTGCCATGCCCAACGAGAGGCAAAAATAAGCCCGATTGTCAATGCTGGTACAGCTATATTCGAATTTGTATTTTTAAGATTTCTGAGATGTTTATTGAAACCACGCGGCTGAGGTGATAGTTAGCTTTCAACGTTACCTCGATCTTCCATCTGATGAACTGAAATGTTTTCATTTGGCGCGGCAGTAAGTAACTAACGTTATTGTTAACCTGGTCACAAGGCCACAGTCACGTTAGTTAGGGCTTGATTAGGATTCGAATAACAAAGCTTACAAGTCTAGATAAGAATCTAAAAATAGGCTTTACAATTCCAGCTCTCTGAGTGTCGTTTTTCAGTGAGACAAATATTGTCTTTCATTTATCATTCTCCTAACGACAATCGAATTTGTCAACTTTTCGGAGTCACCATCAAACCTGGAGCCTACTTCGGCCGCGTATTCCGCTCGTGTCTTTCGACGTGGCGTCCTAGAAAACATTGGAGATTAATAATAATCAGCATAAAGAAAATAGCTTTTCTTTTCATCTTGTAACTGGCCAAATGAACCGATTATGAATACTAACTCTACTATTCAAAATGTTCAATTTTCGTTGAAGTAAATATGTATATGTATATACGGAAACGGATTCAGTAAAATATGCAAATGGGCAGTATTGTTTGTACGAGATACGGCAAAGCGTTTACCGTATTGTGCAGTGCTCTAAAATTCTATTCCCTTTTGCCCTGGGTAGCTTGAATAGCAATTTGTAATGAGTAAAAACGAAATTGAAGTTTCGGCATGATGACAGAACAGCGTACAGTGAGCCAATGTCGTCGTCTAGCCTGTTCTTGGATCCTATGGCGCGACTTGTAAACTTTGGGAAAATAAGTTTGAAAAACCGGCTACATTCATATATCTAATTCTTGAGGTCGCACTAAACTACCTTACAATAACAGTTTTATTTAATATTTAACGCCTGTTCGTGTTGCTGACGTATTACTACGTTTTATTAAGCAATAAAAACAACTTAAGGTCCGAAGAAAATGTTTAATGCTTAACACCGTACCTCGCAGTGTGCTTAACATTGTCTTTCCCCATAATGTCTGTATCTCGTAGGTAAATTTCAAACGTAATACTTTGAAATCAATCTTTTACTCATTAATCCTCCTTTGTAATCGCCAGAGATATTTTCTATATAATATAATATAAAATATAGAGTTTTCTAATGGTGAAGTTCAATTCAACTTGCTTGTTTCGCACCTACTGCATCGGATGAAGTTAAATTAAGAAATGTGAACTTTTAAAAGACTACAACCTGAACTGCTAATTACAGGACATCCAGTAATGGGTGACTCTACGTAGGATTGCAAACAACTGATATTATGTTTCGATATTAATATAAATTCAAATCAAAAACAGAAAAAGTTAAAGGTATTTGACAATAAGTTGTGTTTATGTGCATAAGGGACCACGCGGAAAGAGGAAGAGATTGTAGAACATAAAATCAAAAAGCATCCTTCTAGTATCAAAAGTAAGTAATCTTTCTTTTCTAGTAGCAATCTCTTTTTAAGTAATCAACTTATATTCGTTGTTTCGCCGTAAAATCCGTCCAGGTACGTTACGTCGAGTTCGACATAGAAGTAGAACAGAGACGAATTCGGATATTTTTTCACCTTCGATCACGAAAAATCATTCCCACATACTCGCAACTTGACTTTCGTTGTGATAGGAAAATACTTTTGTTACAAAGAAATTAATTATTGTTAATTAATTATTATTATAGAAGAATTAATAGTGGTGGTAGATTTGCTACAGTTTAGGTTAGAGTTTCTATTTTTTATTGCAAAACAGTCTGCTTCATACCAAAGGAGACCAGAACGAGTAAGCTTCGCAGCATGTATAAAGAGCAACGAAAAACGTTAGCGTGTAGGCACGCCTCCTGTTCAATGTTAGGGTGTAACATTCTATTTAGGTTTAGCTTCAAAGCTTTTTTGAGGTACAGTCACGCAGGCATCCGGTACCTGGATCAGGAGCTGCTTCATTATAGAGTGGACACTACTTTGAATCACAAGCCGTACTGCTGACGCCAACGTCGTTAGTCTTGCCAGATATGTAAAGCAGTGCCTATCTGTTTAGCTTTCAGTGACATTTTAGATAAAGTTAATCTTTATTAATTGACAGCTTATAAAGGAGCGATTAATATTGAACCACAAAACAGCACTAGCTACAAAAGGAAAAGATTTCTTTTTTCAAAATGTTAAATGAATCTTTATTTAGAAAGAACGCCTTACAACACTGGATATTTTTGCCTTGTTAAAATTATGCCAGTCAAAGATTGTTTTTCTTTTAATATGATGTGACAGAGTTTATTGGCCATTCATACTATGTTCACACCTTTGCTAGTTCACTTATGCAACAATTATTGCTACAAAGTCTCTGCAATGCTTATATTGTCCATTAGCTAGAGTCTGTTGCCTAACTCTATCTCAAGATCCGGCATCTGCGTAACTTACATAAAAAAAGATACTCCAGAGCCTGTCAGGTAAAACATTCTAGCGACAGAAAAATCGTCGAGTCTAATGTCTAGCATTTATGCACTGGTTCTTATAACAAGACGATAAACAAAAGGGGTGAGAGTGGCAAACGAACTTGCACACAAATGAGAAGAAAGCGTCGAAGGTTTCCTGGGGAACTAAGCCGCACAGAATATCAGATCAGATCAAGAACTCGGTATCGTTTCTTAATGGTAGGAACTAGAACTTTACGTCACACAAAAAAATGTCTTAGGGTAAATAAAGGCCTTCGGCCTTTATTTATTAAAGCTATTGGTAAATACTATTGGTAAAACTATTAAGACTATTTGTAAAACTACTAATGTAAAGTAGGACAAACATATCCACTCGGCTGCTATGGATCTGCTTCGTGATCTGTGGCTTACACTGAAATTTGTAAAATTCTGCAGAACTCTTTTATTCAGTACGTATAATTTTTATTTAAAAAGAAACAAGTATCGCTTAAACAATTATTGATTTGATGATTTTCTGCAAGCAGGCGATTTCTTATAAAATTTACTGTGATCGTACTTTTCTTGAAGGTTAGGCGAGACCTGACCCACGCTACACATCTTTTGCAGTCAGCGATGATTTTGCGAAGGGAAAGCGCTGTGTACGTACGACGACAATGTAGTGCGAAGGCGCCACGGTCATTCGAAGACTGTGGCGCGTAGTCGTGAGAGAGGTGGCCAGCCAGAAGATGTTGCACCATGCCCGCGAAACGACTCACACATTGACTGATGAATGACGCAGCTGTACGGAGAACATGCGAACGGTACGTTGAAGCAGCAAAGCTGGTAGCAATGGCCGAACGTAACGATCATGATGGAACCATAAAGAACAATTAGCACGACGCTACCGGACGTGAAACTTGAATAACCAAAAGGGTATAAAAGCAAATATATATATATATATATATACATATAGGATAACCAAGCTTGCTACCCGTATGTGCAACTTCTCCCGCTGACGTTATATATTGAAATACCAATTGTGCAATGCGATATTTGGCTAGTTAAAATTTAATTAAGGATCCTTGACGGTTCATCTTGTAGTAAATATGTAGGCTAATAGATTAAGTGCCGTTAGATTTTTACATAAACTAACTTAGATGCCACACGCCGCAAGAAGAAGACGCGGTTGACCAAATATAACTGTAATGGATAGCACTAAATTATATTTTATATTAGTCGAAAAATTGTTTAGCAATTTGGCCAGTTACCTCTGTAAAAAGCCCGACAAAATTTGCCCAAAACGTACAGTTCATTCATTGGCAGTAATCATCTAGGTCAAACCAGTCTGATCGGACGTGAGGCCTTGAAGCTTCTAGCTGAGACGGCGAGTTAGGAGGGGAGTGGTGTTAGTCAGCCTTCCCACTACAGAGCATTTGAGAGGGCGTGTTAGCAGCCTCGCGTAGCTTTCAGCTGATGCGCGTTGTCTATTGACAGTTCTAAAGCGAATCGATTCTCACAAAATGCCTTCACAAAACATATTCGAAAAATTATTAGCAGGTATGAAATCTTTTATTAGGGTAATAAAAACACGATTGGCCTTACCAAAAATGTCTATCGGTTCGAATATATTTAAAGATGGATATATTCAAAAAGTGCTACCTTTTCGACTTATCGTTTTTTTTTTAATGTATTCAAAAATCATAAATGCTTTTGAAGAACAGATTCGTATTCAATGTATGTGTTCCGTAAAGGGAATTAATTCTTACTCTATTGCCAAACTTAGACATATTGGAGAATGAAAAGATCGAACCAGCAGGAGGCATTAGATGCCTAATACAGTTTTTCGAGCAGGCCAATCCTTCAATTTTCGTATACAGCAGAAATGTACCCCAGAACGTACGCGAATCTGATGTCCAAGCAAGTTTTGGCACTTCGTAGCGGTTTGGCATTGTTCTTCTTAGTCGTTGATACAGAGAAGCTTATTTTGTATTTGTAATAATGAAATTAATTGACCACTTAATATAGCTACACAAATATAAATATTGGAATTTCATTATCATGTAGCAAGTCTCTGTAGCTGTAAATATCAAAATATCTAAAGCATTTAAATGGCAACCGGCGCGAAGGCATTCGTGCATTTATGTCAGTACCCTATAATATAATGTCAAATCTGAATATTCCGCAATTGCACATTATTATTTAATATGATTATCGCCTTATAGTAAAAAAAAGAAAAGCTTCTCTATAATACAGTGGTTGCCTTTTAACTAATTGGTTAGAATTATCCTTTAATGGGTGCTAAAATAAAACATTTAATCTTTTTTTGATAATTACTTTATTCAGATTTGCTTTACCGAGTGGCACCAGACATTCTCCTTTACCGCCTGTTCACTAGGACCGATTCATTTATAAGAGCCGTGTTCCTTTCTTCTACTTCTTTTCCAAACTGGCCGCAATTAACTCAACTTTGTCCAGCAATTTCTCAGCCTCACCGTGAGCAGCCGGGATCGACAAGTCCGAGAAGTACCACATCATGGGATGTAGCTAAGTTTGCTGCCAGTTCACGTGCGCTCATCCTTTTGCTTCAGGCACGTGCAGCTTTCTACAGTTATTTGTTTTTTTTTTTGTGGTGGCTTAGTATTCGGAGTGCTATCGATATACATCTGAATTTTATCATATGGAGCGCTTTTTTCTATTGTAAAAACGCTTATCTACACATATCTGCATGCAATAATAAATAAGTATATAGGTCAAAAGCTTGTGGTAACTACGGGTTATTTTTCACTATGCCCTTGATACTTTTTTAAGAGCTTTCGACATCCATCTTTAAATCAAGAATGGTTCCACTTGAACAAAGTCAACGTAGAATTTAATTCATTTGTCCGATATTCTGGGCGAACAGGTGTCGCAGTCTTCGTATAAGAATACCAATAACAATTTTTTCAGTAAGATGGCTGTGTAGAAAAAATATGCTATTTCAGAGTTACATTATTATTGTTATATTATTTAATGAGACCTATTCGTGTATTTGTATGAGAGTTAATGATTAGGCATCTTTTGTGTTTTGCAGTTTCTTTTTAATTACTTTATACAGGATTACAATGCGGATGCATTTCGCTCGCCGTTGATCATTTTGGAATCGAAGCGATGGTCATTAAGCGATCGAGTAGTGCATACTCTATTAGAAGGTCTGACTCGGTGGGACTCGCAGTATTTCCTGCACATAGCACAGTTTGGCTATACCTATGAGCATATGACAGCATTCTTCCCTGGCTATCCTTATTTGGCCAGAATACTCGCTCAAGCTTTTGAGGTGAGTGGTTGAACTGAAAGGTGATTTCGAATGGATAATTCCAACTCACTCACTAATGTGAGTACACACTAAAAATTCAAATTTGATTGAGTCTTCATTGGCAAAGCTGAAGTGGTACTGCAGCCCCCGCTTTGGTGAAAAAGAAACGTTTGGAAACGTGCTTCAGTCGAACATTTTGTCGAAACACAGCCAAATTTAACGGTAAATTAGACATATAAGTACTTCTTATTGTTTGAAATTGTTCAGACACACAGCAAGCTGCACTACGGCAGCTATTTTAGTGCTATAAATATATATGGCTACATAGTACAAAATCTTTTTTATTATTTCAGGATGTACTCGGAGATATTCTTTCGCCATCCAGCTGGGTCTTGATATCTTGCGTTCTCGTCACGCACGTATCGTTCGTGCTGTCTGCAGTCGCATTATTCTACCTCACACAATTGATGTTTGATGATCGTCACCTTCCGATGCAAGTCGTCAAAATGTACTCATTTAATCCAGCCTCGATATTCTTCGCTTCGTGCTACACTGAGTCGCTATTTGCTTTCGTCACATTTTCGGGTCTGTACCTTTTAGAAAAGGAGTATGATACCCTAGCAACGGTCATGTTTGCTATAGGAAGTGTGACTCGTTCGAATGCGAGTCTGGTACCAATTTTCTACCTAGAAAAAGCCTGGCGCCGATATCAGCGAGGCAAATACGCCTTTAGCCTACTTATTCGAGCCGGCTTTGCTTGTCTTGGCAATGTCATCGTTCAACTTTACTTCTGGGATAGTTTTTGCTTTCCCCATCAACAGCCGAAGGCGGTCAAAGAGGTGCGGCTTTATGCAGCCGAGATGGGATATAAGCAGATTGGCATAAATGCATCTGAGTGGTGCTTCTACCGTTTGCCATTCTCATACAGTTTTGTTCAAGCCAAATATTGGAACGTTGGGTTTTTCAAGTACTGGCAATTAAAACAAACACCAAATTTTCTCTTAGCACTTCCAGTTATTGTTTTTGTGGCTCACTTCTGTCGACTCTACTATAAACGTCTAGCAAGCTATTGCCTGCATGCAGCAATTCTTTCAGCCATATGTGTGTTTTTCGCAAACATACAAGTGGCCACACGAATCCTTATTAGTGCCTCGCCTGTCCCGTTATGGGCGGCCGCTAAATCTGAAAAACGCAACCTAGTATGGGCCTACTTTTTGCTGTACTTCATCCTAGGCTTAATTCTTCACACAAATTTCTTCCCTTGGACGTAACTGTTCTTCGGTTATCCACCAACTCTCCTTTCTTTTATCTTCCCTATTATAGATTTGATATTCCATAGAATATACATTAATGCATCATGAAATGAATTCAACTATGAATCAATTGTACATATATGAAGTGCTTCCGTTGAAATCTTGTAAGCCAACTTCTTGGAAATAGCAAGAATTGATTTGCGTTTCGTATAACCTTTAAGCTTTATAGTGGATTATTTCCTTAAGCAAGAAATTTAGTTGACTTGACCTGCTTTTGGCTGTGTTTGGCAGGTCCGCGACATTATAGTTTCAGATAGCAGCATTATTGAACGCTTCTTTTGCGCGAAAATAGTCTAAGTTTATATTCAAGTGTATATTTCGAAGTTTTCTATCGAAAGTCTATTCACATGAAATACCGTACTTAGTTTAGTCAGGTAATGCCACAGGTAGTAATAGGTTCGCTTCTTTGCGTAGTTAGACAATAATAGTGATCGTACACTGCATAATTGTGAAAAAGCGCCAAAGTCAATTTTTTGGGTTAGATATTTTCTATTCTATTTCCCTTAGCGTTTTCAGCTATCAACAGATGTTTTCTCTGAAATTTGCAATGTAAGCATTCGAAAGACTCGGTGAAAGTTATGGCTTACATGTACAAAAGCTTAAAGGGATATGAGATCTGATTTACGTAAAGATTCCTGAACTTTAGCTGTTTTGTGTGCAAATTGCATCTTTTAGTCAATTTCTGCAGTGCTTCTACGTTTCAAATTACGCTAACAGAATTTCAGAAATTCTTAAAAGCAAAAGATCCAGGAAAGAATACACCTAAGATAGACCCTCAGAAGGGAAAGTACATATATACATCAATATAAAGCAGCCCGCAGTTAAACTACAACCCTACAATACCATTTGAAGTCAGTTAGCCGCCCACTCGTTTTATTATTCGACATTTATGCCAACGATTTTTTTCATATCTTATATGTAAATATTAGGCACTTTTTAACATAGCCGGACTGTACATAGTTATATAGATATACAATATGATCGAAAATGTTTAACAATAATGTTAGTAATTGTTTCATCTAAAGAGGTAAAATCTTCTGGCGGAAACCTGCTATGTATTCTAAAAAATACTCGAAGGCAGATTTCTAAGCCGCACTGTAATATATTTTGTGTAAATAAACTTCAATAAGCGATACAACACACAAAACGTTGTGCTTATATCTAATCTGATTGTATGCTGCAGTGCTTGTTATCGCGTAACCTCTTCTAGTATTTTCTCAAACACAGCGACGATAATCAATATATGTTTGAATATACGCAGAAAAATTTAACTAAGCTAACTAATGCGATTAATTAAATTTCTAAAAAGCCAAAATTTACATATAAAAGGAAAAACACACACAAGAATAGCTGCTATGTTTGGTTTTTATTTACAAACAAGAGCGTGATGATCATCTTCGTTCTTTCTTTTCCTTTTATCTTTCTCGTTTTTTCATTTCGTGAAATGGAAACTCCGACGGACTCAGACCGGCTGAATGACGGTGCTTTTGGAGAAGAAGAGACATCCCAAAACATTGAAATATAGGAAAATTAAAAGCCTGTGTGGAGGATAGATTAATGATCAATGGAAGCACAAAGTACACATTCAAAAAAATACAAATACAGCTCTTTTCTGCGAGTAGAACATTGTATAGTCATACGAAGAACAATAATTGTATCAATAATAAATACTACTACAAAAGTTAGGTACGTGGTACATGTTCACTGAAACACGCAGAAACACACAAAAAAACAACGCAGACCAGCGGGAAATGTCTCTATTTCCTTCTCTTTCTCTCTATAATTTTTCTCGGCGACGCACGGCGTAAGCTATAATGTAATCCTTGATGTTTCTTAATAGTGAAAACGGATAGTAGACTTCTGTCGATTTTATAGTTTTTTTTAATTGTAAGTCGAGATGTTCCTATCGAAATCCGTATTCGCAATCAATATATGAATATTTTCTCGGCTTCTATTCTTTTCTTGTGGAAAACATGTTAAGCTAAACAAAAAAAATGCATGCTTTTTCTCAGTATAGAGATCACGATATGCTCAGCTGCTGCTTCGGACGCGCTTATAGCCGTTCCCCGAAGGACTCCCTATCCCACGCACATACTCACACAGACAGGCGTCTAGACGCTCTTTTTATCTACAACAGCGACTTTTACAATTACTTCGTAGTGCAAGACCCGTTCGATAGCGGTGCGGCGTATGCTTTTTCTGCTGCTGCTGATTTTTTTTGTTATCATTGAAATACGCATTCATTAACCATTTTACATTTGACATTCTGCCTAAAAATAACAAACTAACCTCTTAAATACGACACATACGGCCACAGTTACACGAAAAATACCCGCCCCAACCCCGTTGACATCAACTTCATTCGCAGCCGAGAAACTGCTTAAAAATATTTTTTTGCGCAAGACCTTAATCTCTCTTCTCTCTTCAATAAAGAAATTATGCCATATACATGTCGACAGTCCTATATGAGACTACCTAGGATACGAGACCCGCCGTTTTTCCCTATGCTGGTCGTTGACTGGTTCGATATTGGCAATTTAGTATTAACTGTCGAATTTATCTTTGCCTTGCCTCTACCAATTCAGGTAATAAAAATCAGTGTAACGCACAATAGCTATGAGATTGCCTAAAAAAAAGACAATCCAGCTAATGTCTGATAATCAAATAGATTTATAAAGCGTGAAACCGTCAGCCAGATGGGCTTCAATTGTGATTTTTGTCATTAATAAGGACTTCACTAAAACGTACTAAATTACGCAAAAGGACACAGCAAAGGAAGAGAGACAAGAATTTGTCGTTGTCAGGCGTTAATATCGCTATTGTCTACGTCGGCATCGCCGTAGTCACTTCGAACTTAAATCACAACCTGAGATCTTCGCCTTACACCACTGGAAACCAGCAGAGCTCGCTTTGCTCTTGGCAAAACAAAAATAACAAATTGATAAAAAAACAAATAAAAATTAAAGAAAATGATAACTTGCACAGGAAATAGATTAGTTGTCAGTACTTTTGTTGTTGTAGGTGTTGTTTCTTCTGTCGTTCAGAACCACCACTGTCCGTTCGGTATTCCATTTTGTTTGTAGTTTACAAAGGCAAGGTAGCCAACATGTTACAAACTTACACAAATACACCAGTTATGGTTACCCAAATAAATGTTGGACGGTATTTAGTGAGAATGAATCAGCTAAGAAACGGAAAACAAAAAAGAGGTAAGCTACCTAGATCGACCAATAGAAATTAATTTGTCCACATGGCAGAATATTTAAATTCAAAAGAGACCACCATCGATCAACGTTACCCATGGAGGTCGTTCGAACAATACAAAAATAAAAGCAAGGAATATGTATGTTTCCTTTTTTTTTTTTTTATAGACTCGCGTGATACGACTTCGTTACCATGTAATATTTCACGTGTTAATAAAATTACAATTATTGATGCTATCCACTTTAAATTAGACTTAAATCTATCATCATGAAAATATTCGCATATTTGTTTCATTATTCTACACACATGTGTCTGCAATGTGAACCAAAGGATCTTGTGTGTTAGCCAAAGGCGCTACTGGTATCCATAGCACTATCATTTCTCATTAGTAATTTGGTTTGGGTTGAATTTCAGTCAACGAGCTTGCAACGTTTTCTATTTCTTATCCGAGTACCGTAGTCAAAGGCGTCCCCCGGAAGGATTTAGTCTGGTCGAATTCTTGCACGATAATGATTAAAGCAAAGTGTGGGGAAACTGAGAGTGCTACTTAAAGGGTATGTTCGTCTATGCGACCATAAATAATCGAGCTGTCTTACCCGTTTCACTGCTCTTACTCGGCACGTTCGTATCTCACAAATTCACTAGGTTGCTTCCTTTTGTATCAAGCTCGCTTTTTCTCCACACATTTACTCATCATTTTATCTTTTTTTTTTGTTCCCCTGTCTCTTCCTCACTTGCTCGCATATCGCTGTGATTTTTAAGAATTTCTATTTCACATCGTTATGGTCACCACCACCGTCATCATGATTTATCATTCATAATGTAATTATCTCGTTATAATTAACATTTTAGGCCTTATAGATTCCCAGCTCGTCCTTCGCCGTCATTGTCGCGATATTCGTTCGTAGCGCCCATTCACCGTTGCGTCGTCATCGTCCGCATAACTTTCACAAATTTTTTCGCTTTGTTTTTCTCACATCTGCACATAATTATCTTGCTTTACGTAAATGTCTGTAGCAAGCATTTCTCTTCTTCATCTCAATAATGTCAATATTATTATCATCTCGTTATTATCTGTACATAGCTCTCAATAGCTTAATCAGCTTCTCATTATTCGCTTATTCCTCCCTTGTTCTTTCTTTTATCCTTTTATCTAGTTATATTGTTTCATCTTATTTCATCATTTCATTTTACTTATTTCTTATTTATAATAATCTCCCTGTTACCCTATACTTTTGCTAGATCAATGTTATAGATTTCGTTTCCTTTCTTTCTCTCGCGTCCTTTCAGTCTATCATCCTTAATATTTATTATAATAATATTAGTATCAGCATACTCCTCGTCTTCTTCATCAGTTCGTTACTTTCTTTCCGTCTTTCTGTATCTCAGTTGCTACTGCAAAGAGTAATAATAATTAGAATATCGCAGTTTTGTTCTGTACAGCCCTGAAGGGCAGAGTCGGCATAGCTTCACCGCTCCACTAACGATCTGACCCGTTTAGCAGTGGTGGCCAACCGTTGACCTCACTCACGACGACCTTCTCTTCATTTATGATAATACACGAAGTTCCATTTCCCCCTTCCTTGCCTACTTCAGTCGTCATTGTTAAAGTCCGACTTGCATTTTGGCGCAAGGGGTACACATGTGACGGTTCGCATTCCCCGAAACCTCCTTGCACAGTGGTCTTGGTTATCTGCTTAATATCGGCGATCTGTGTCATAGACCCTAACCTAGTTGTAGTGTCGTGGTATGTTCTCGCCTTGGTATGGCATTGTTTCAGTTGCCGCCAACCTTCAAGATATTCTAACGGTTTTCTCTAGCTCTGCTCTCTCCACATCTCTCTCTATCTCGCTCTCTGCTTTTCTCGGTTTAAACTTGATACACGCACATACTTCTATGGATGGATCAACAGCGGAAGGGGGACACAATGGAACACACTGTAATATGTATGTAGTACTTATACGCCCATAATACAGCCACATCTCTCGCCTATCATCATCATCATCCATGAGACACAACTTGAGCAACTTGGTTCACCCTTCCCTTTTTTCATTATGATCACGTCACCACTTCACCATTCAGCTACACTTTTCACTTTGTTTATCCACCACCAACCACACTATATCTTCTCTTACGTTACGAATTTTGTTCTCTCCCTTTTGTTGTTTGTTTTTTTTTACAGACGGCGCAGTCCTGACGCAGAATAAAGCGAAAACTTTGCCGTAATGTACAGGAAATTATTTTGAGTAGACTGAACCCATCACGTGTTTGCTTGCTGGTGCTGCAACCTCCGTCGGCTATGGCTTTCATTCATTGTCTTCCGGTATCGGCTGAAGTTGCGCTATCCATTCTCTCATCGACGACCAAAACTGAAACTCTCGAGAATGTTCTGAAGAGTGCTATAGTTCTGAATGAGGAAAAGATCATGGTCGTAAGACCGATGCAACCATTAAATGATTCGTTTCGAGCAGAAAAATCCAGCAGCTTAACTCAACGGGAGCTTTTGTTTTTGTTGTTTTGGGGGACACTACCAGCTGGCTAGCGAATTTACTTAAGGCCCTTCGTTGTATTGGTAGCGTAAAGCTGCTGTTGAAAGTTGTGGAACTGTGCAGCATAATTGGGATCAGTAGTCATGGGCCCTCCATAGAAAGGTTTGTTCTGACCAGGTCCACCAGGGCCACCTGGACCTGGTGGCCCGTTAAAGGGTCCTCCCATTGGTCCCGGTCCGGCCTGTGGTTGTTGTTGATCAGGGTAATATTGCATCGGGCCACCGGGATGTCCGCCAGGACCACCTGGGCCATTACCCATTGGTCCTCCGGGTCCTATTGGACCTCCAGGACCTCCTTGCGGTCCTGGTCCCGCAACGCCCATGGGGCCATTTCCCATTGCCATTCCAGAACCGCTTATTGGAGTCCCACCTGGACCCATCGGCCCCATTGCTCCGCCCATAGGGCCTCCGGGTCCGCCGGGTGGCATTCCCTTCATGTTATTCATATCCTGAGGTCGAGTATATCTGAAAACGGAGAGTCATGCGAAGACATTACAGTCAACGTTAGTATTGATGTTAATAAAGCTGTCATTTTTTGACACTCTTAGAACTTAAAGCCATCCAAATATTTAATAAAAGTTATATCAGATTATAATATGCCATAGACAATTTGAAATTACTTACACTATTCAAAATTTTTTGTTATATTTGTACTACGGAGAATGATAACAAACAGGCTCTTTAACGAAAAGAAGACAGCAAAAGCGTTCTAATGGTGACCCATGTTATACTATGTTTACAATACTCGAATGGCCGCTAGGTTGGCGTAACATACGCCAAGGTCCAAACATAACTGGAACGATGCGAACTGGTTCATACCTTTGTAAGAAGTCTAAGCTTGGTGGTCGCTGATGCTGAGGATTATGCATAGGTCCTCCTGGGTGTTGTCCAGGTCCCTGGCTCCTGGCGGGGAGATACTGAATCGTATTTGGCGCATCCGGTCGTACTTGAACGTTGGTGCGACCCCGCGGACCTCCTGGAGGGCCGCCCGGACCACCGGGCCCCATAGGTCCACCGTATGGTGACCCGCCTGGTCCGCTAGAGACAGGTGGCCCCCCCATCCTTCCGCCAGGACCCGGCGACGGACCCCCCATTGGGCCTCCTGGGTGACTCATACCATTGCTATCAAAATTTTCTAACGACGCTAACCTAAAAAGCCAAAGAAAAGTGAGACGTTAATAGAACGAGACTCACTTTATAGAATATTAGGCTACCTACCTACTAAATCATTAAACCCACCGGGTAAAAAAATATCTTTGGGGCCGGTTCTGCAAGGTAAGTGTTGCTTCAGAGAGCTTACCCCCAGCACGAAACGAAATGTTACATTTTGTTTCGGACGTATATAATGATTTTTTTTTACGTTCTGAACCATTGTTTCAAACGGCTGAGCTGCAAAATGATACAGACGGGTCTATTCCAAGACTCACACGTCCAATAGGCAAACATGTGTGGACTGCACCATCGCAGGGGCAAGCCCGTTCAGCCTCGTAGCTACGCAACCTACATATTAGCAGAATTTTTTCTCTTCTCATAGGAGCTGTCTTTCTCTTCTTCACCAAACCTCTATCGATCTGATATTTTAGGCCACGGTCATCATTTTCAAACCTAGTTTCAAACCTGTTCGAATCAAAAGTCAATAAGAGTTGTATAGTTTTATCTTGGGCTACCTAATAAAACAACGTCTGTTCTCACTATAAAATCTGCTTTTTGTTTATCATTTATCAAATTCTCTTTAAATTATCAATAGACTCCAAAAACCCGTAAGCTATAAAACATTTTCAAAAACTTTTCTGAGCTATGGTTTTTTTTATTTTTCTTACGGGAATAGTTACAAAGTGCTTTGTTATTATGTGATTTACAGCTAATGAATATCAAGTTATAAACATGATTTATTTTCATTAAAAGTCATTTCATTATCCCTCGTTCTCGGGTTTTCGTTAAGTATAGATAGAGCTATTAAATACAGCCACAATGGAAGTTCCAAGAAAAAATACATTTTTAGATAAGTCTAGTAAAGCATTGGCCATTTCCCTGCTCTTAATAAGGCGGAAAACTATTACCTTAGAAAAAAAAAGTGTCAGACAATTCCTTATCTAGAGTTAGGCTGTTTGTCAACCGGGTTGGATTTCGGATCCTACTTTCAGAGAAAACATAAAAAAAGTCTGAGCTGTGCTGTTGCCTTTTTCGTCCTTCTTCCGTTTGGCCTGTCTCTTACCCTGCTTATACGCTCACTCAGTCTCTTCAGACAAGTTTCTTCGGTTTGTTTTTTATAGTTTATATAGTTTATACAACTATAATTACGCAGTCATCATCACGCAATTAATTTGCTGCATCTTTATGATTTTTTTCGCCCACTTATCTCAGCTAAACATGTTATATCCCTCTACCTGTCCTTAAATCTAGTAAACAAACACCATACGACTGCATCACCATATGGGGTGGACATTATGTAATCAGAAGTATATAATTTAATAAAACTAAAAATAGAGGTAACAGAAATGCCTTGGGAATACCTCGATTTCGACGACCATACAGATACTTTAAAAGTATGGGAATGACTATTGTTAAGTTTTACTTACGGATCGTTGGGCATCATATTATCGGACTGAGATGCGCCCGTCGGCCCGCCAGGTCCACTAACTTGCGGCGGTTGAGGACCACCATCCATAGTATTGAAACCAAGGTGTTGAGGGGAGGACATCATGCCACCGGGCATATCGACTGGCGACATTGGATTGCCACTTGGACCTGTCTTCCCGGCTTTTCCTGGGCCTCCACCGCCAGGGTTGAGGTGCGGAGATATAGCGGGTTGAGGAGGCAACTGAGGTGACGTCGACGGCTTAAAACCTCCCATGGGTCCACCCATTTGTGAGGGATCGGGCGACGGACCACCGGGTCCTCCAGGACCACCCATCGGACCTCCGTATGGACTCTGCGGGTGACCCATCATTGCCGGGCTCATAGGCCGCGGTTGATCCGGTGGCCTATAATAGGACCAAATCAAAAATGCAAGCCAGAACATACAATTGAAAAAAGGTAGGTTATGAAAGGAAAAAACTTCGCTCGTGCGTGCATATGTAATTCATTGCATTTTTATTATGTTGCAACGGACGGTTTTATACAGTACTACTAGCTGATGGGCATGAATTCCCAATACAAATTGATTTTAAGAGAGAGGAGAATTGAATGCTCTTATACCTACCATCGCACAGGCCATAAGGAAGTACCAATGCGATAAACAAAAATTATTAGAAGATTGGCACTCACCTGAAATTATATTGCGATCCCTGAGAAGGGGGTCCACCGGGCCCTGTCTGTCGGTGGTTGGGTGTAAATTGTCCACGGGGTCCTTTGGGGGCGCCCATTGGCGGGACACCGCCAGGCCCATAGGGTCCATTAGGCCCCATTGTCGGACAAGGTCCTCCTGGGCCCATGGGATGAGCGCCTGGCGGCATGTTCGGATGGCCGGGATGTTGGCCATGCGGGGGCATCATGCCGCGCGGACCAGGTCCACCTGGTGCACCTGGCCCACTTGGACCCCCTGAGGGTCCACCGGATCCACTGGGTTGCTGCGGGTGATTTTCAGATCCCAATTGGAACATTTGGCGCATTTTTTGTAACGTGGCCAACTGCTCCTCTCTATGCTGCCGCTGTTGTGGCGTAAGGTTCTCGTCGGGTATCTTAACACCGGGCATACTCCGTCCTCCTAGACTTGGACCAGCACCTATTGGCGGTCCTCCAGGTCCCATTGGACCCCCAGGACCGCTCATTTGAGGGGGTCCTCCCATTGGCGAATTCGAGCCCATCGGCCCTCCCGGACCCATGGGACCCATTCCTCTGGGTCCGTTCGGGCAGCCTGGTCCAAACGGCGCTCCGTTCGGTGACCCTTGGAACTGTCCTGGAGGAAAGTGATTGTTCATACAGCCAGGCTGGTTCGGACCCGGCCCATTACCACCTGGACCACTAATATTTGGCCCGGGTGGACCCCAACCAGGGCCACTTGGTCCTCCTGGGCCCATATTCAACATAGCTCTCCGTTGTTCAAGCATACGCCTTGTGCCCGGCTGCGCAATATGAAATTGAACAATCGAAGCGAAGTGGCCGGTAAGCACAGCTTCGGCGGCCTGGTTTGCCATGACAGTTGTGAACACAAACGATTGAGAGGGCCCCTGAGGGGGACCTGGAGGCCCATTGGACGGCGTTGTCTGACTACCCCCAGGCGTGGATGTGGACGGGTATTCTTGTTTATGCGGCATGGCCATTCCTCCCCAGGGAGAGTCAGCACCAGGGCCTCCAGGCCCCTCGGGACATGCCGAACCTGGTCGTGAACTTTCAAGCTTCGGTTCAACCTATAAATGGAAAAGCGGATGTCAATGCTTCAAATTTTCCAACGAATTAAATTCTCGCAATTTTGAGACGAATATAACGAAAAAAATAAATACATACTCAGTAAAAAAAGAATATAATTCTAAACAACCCATTGTTTACCTTTGGCGTCTGATTGGGGTCATTGCTAGATCCTCCGTTCGCAGCAGCGTCAAGCGCCTGCCCGAGGCTATCGTTGAGGCTCGGTGATGCTTTGGCGTGGGGCGATGGACTTGGCTCCTTGGACCCGTTCGACGTTGTGCCCTTTTCACACGGGACGTCATTTGAGGCCGCCGGAGGAGGTTGTTCGCCTTCAACGGTGTTTTCCGTACCGTTGCACTTCATATTTCGGCCGGCCTTACAAGTCCAACTCACACCAGAACGCTGCTGCTCGGAGCTTGTCGGATATAAAACGTTGCGCAAGTGGGTCTGCCCACACTGCTAACAACGTATCGTGGTCCACCGATCCTCAGCCATCTGCAAGCCAGATTAGTCAGATAAATAAGATATATATATTATAAGAACCTAAACAACTACTGCTAATGGCAATATGTAAAGTGTCTTTTCCTTCACCAGACGTCTTGTGCAGCATGTGCTACAGATAATCTTAGGTTCAAAAGATACGAACAGTAGGGACAAAAGTTTACGTTGTATAATAGCCCTGCAAAATAATCTGTATATATAAGTTTATTTTGTGTGTTTTTTACATTACTATATATGATTAGGGGAAGAAATAATAGTCATTACATTTTTAGAGTGAATTGTTCTGTGTAACAACAGTTTCACAAGAATTGGTTTACTGGTTTATTTGCGCCTTTGAATTGTAGTAAGTGCTATAATTGAACTGAAATAAAGAAGAATTATCAACACATTCGAGACAATAACCTGCCACAAAAGAGACAGGTAAGTCAGCCGGGGAAGGGACTCTCTTCTATTAGTCAAAGCACCCACTCTCTATATAAAATTTATGACAAACTTTAAATCCAGTTTAAGAGATGATGACTGAGCGGGGGGTTGAATTGCTAATTTCTAATAATATAAACCTGTGCAGTGACTGCTCGATTCGATGAGCTTGTATCTGCGAAAGTGTAGGCCTCACGATCGATCCCGATATAGATCACGGTACTAACAATTGAACTGCGGTGTTTCTACTGAGCACCTGCTGCTTTCACTAGCAAATCGATTAAAAAAATATTGCCTTTTACCCAACCCCAGAGTTGGGCGTCTTTTATCTGGACCATAGCAGTCTGGCATAAGGCTGTCCTATAGCAGAAACCTATGAGCACATTCGAATGTTTCATCTGTGTACGGTATACATACTCCGATTAGTAACGCAATAATTAAGATACGGTTTCGAAAGCGCATCAACTATAGATCGATTCTTTGTTCACCTAAAATAACAAAATGACGATTTGTGTTTGGACAGCATTTGATATGTGTGTGTAATTTGAACAACTAAATTGACGGAGGACGATGCTTTCTGGCACTAACGCCCAGTGTTGGTACACGCACAATTATAATTGGAAACTCGGCTGTTCCTTTAAGGTAATTTTGTTATTTGCAAACATTCGGTCGTTTCATATATGTATTTTCATCATGTATAATCGTAATAAACTACTAGGGAAGTGAAAAATCATCCCGTTCAACGGAGTTGCTGTCGGCTGCCCCCAGCCTGCACATTTAGGAATATTCACAAATGCCATACGTACAACTGCTAATGAACCTTTAAAATCCAGCACCGTCCAACTAATCTCCGTTCCAGCATCCCTCTTCAAACTTCCATCATTCAAGGGGTCAGGCCGCATTTGTCATCTCGAACAGACGATTTTATTACGTGTGCTCCATAAACTTCAATATTAAACAGTACCGCCACCGCAGCGCGATGACGACAATTCTACTGTTAAGCTAAACTAAGCGTGTAGCCAGTTACGAACCCGTAACAGCAGTCAGATTGCAGTCATCTCTACACCGTTCGATACATCCAACTGTTTGTACGTGGTAAACGCTGGCATCCTGCTTCAGTTAAAAAAACTATCGAATCTTTATTCGACAGCTTCCAGCCTCTATCGTCTGAATTCTGAATGAATCGTTATTCTAGTAGCGCGGGTGTTACAATCCTGTTGTAATAGTTGTGGAAATGCATTTTCAAGCAATTCCTCCAATTTCGCACAAAAATAATCAAAATAGTCGTGTTTCGCCACTAGCCAGCACTCATCGCGCGGAGACTGCTATATAGGCTAAAGACGATCATTGAGACGATCTTTTATAGTGCATTGCAACGTCCACCACGTAATAACACCGTACAGCGGTAGTGACTGGCAGGCTTATTTCATTTGAAGCTTTATCACATGCTAACCATGTGAAAACAGGACGCACGATTTCACGAAACACTCGCGGTCGATATCTTTATTACTATACCTGCTACTCTAACAACAGCGACGGGAATCGAGGAAGCTTCGACCGACGGTGCAAAGCAGATCGATCGATTACTGAATGGCGGGCCGAGCCATGTCGCAGATGAAACGCGTGATAGAAAACCCGGCAAATATACCGTACTTCGGTAGCATATTTGCTATTTTATAATGCTAGTTATAGGTACACGTACTGTGAAACAATTTAGAGACATAACCAGATTCCTCTTAAAAAAAAAGATAAGGTGCCACACGAAGCTAAAGCGGAGAGGTCTGATTAGCTCGGACGAAGGAAGGAGGTCTTCAGCAAAGAATCCATACAGTCTTTTTTGCTGCCACTTGTGTTCACTTTTAAGGATGTCGTGATAATCTTGTAGAAAACAAAAGTGAGTAGAGTCTAAGGAAAATCAATAATAAGCACACTAGCAAGGCGACGTTTTGGCGGGCGAAGCGCCCACAAGCTGGCGCCCCCGTTCACAGGTACACTTGTTACAGAATCGAATCGAAACCCTTTTAGGCAGCTGTTTCATCACAATTGTACTTACAACACCATTTCGTGTACTAGTTATCTAGCAATCGTCGCGGGAAAATAGCTTATGCACTAAAAGGGAACAAAAAGTTCCCTGCAGCGCATTGTGCTTAGTTACACGCTAAATATGCGTCCTACAGGCATGAAAACCCGCGCTTATTGCATCTTACAATAATATTGGTACTTATAATAGTACTTTACTGGAATCGTTACGACAATTTGATGAGGTACAGGCGCTATGGCTGCAAGGGAGAATATTCGATTTTTAAACGTATAAACATATCAATCGAGGGCCGCATTGTCCTCAACACGACATACAATATCCAGTTCTTCAAGATTTGTTTTCCTTCTGGAAACGACATATTGTCGCTCTGTCGCTTCGAAGCTACATAAACAATGCATACACGCAACTGTTCTAGGGTTCAGCAGACACGATTCTTATGATCGAAAGGCAATCCAGCGGCAGCTACTTTCACCTGTTTCCTTTTTCTACTCAAACGCCTCGGACACTGAAACAACAAGTTGTAACCACAAGTTGGACCACAACCCTTAAGAGATAATATTGCTTGTTCAAGACAGCCATACTCCATAGCCGAGCAGCACGCACACGCACACACACAAACACACACAGACAGGCATAATAAAGCATTTAAGTTGCTTCGCGACTGACACCACCACCATGGCCAATTACATAGTTCTATGGCGCGACGATGGATATTAGCAGACCAGTTTCGCAAAGCATAAACTCACAGCCCCACTTCTGACGTGACATGGCGATCGATTGACAATGCTTTAACCCGCAGTAACTAATGTATATGGGTGACAATGCTAATCATAGCCACTGGCAGGGGTTGTCGGCAATATTTATTTCCAGCTTTATCACCGTGTATACCTTTCGCTGGCTTCACTGCTTTCAAAACGGAACTTATTGGCTCAATGAAACCGCACAAGGCTCTCAGCACAAGCAGCACGCTTAATTTTGACAACATTTGATTTTTTCACCAAACTGCAAAATTTACGTCCGTCGTACACATGCAAACAGACACGCATACACACACACACACACAGATACACCAACGGTTAATAATATAAACACATTTACACAGCTCGTTCTGCTAAACGAAGAAAAAAGGCAAACAGCAAGAACAGTCAATTGTAACGCACCGCGATCGAAGCTGCTGTTGAGGCTGCTTTTTACTGTTTTGTTGGCTAACTGGTGAGATGCTATTGCTCGCGGTTCTCCTGTACGTAATCCTCTGCTGCTGTTGCCGCAATGGCTGCTACAACAACTGCTGTAGCTGCAGCTTCTGCTAAGCACTCTCACACGTGAGGTATTCCGGCGGCGGGGGTACTTTCGATGGCTCTTGGCTGGTGGGAATTGCTGCTAGCTGTATTGGCAGTCGTAGCGGTTCTCGAACGAAGTCCGTCGTTCCGCTTAGTTTTTAGTTCGTTCTAAACAGCAGCAGCAGCAGCAGCAGTCGTGGGTGTCGGGGGCAGCCCGGGTGGACCTCTGCCTGGCCGGGGCACTGCGAGCTGCGGGCTCGCGGCAGCGGGCTCTCTTCGGACTCGGGGCACGGTCGGCGCTCACCAGGACACAACAATATTTTGCTCCGCTCATGACAACGCCATATTTGCGTCTCCGCGACCAGGAGACGGCTGGCGGGAGAGCGCGATTCCGCCAGTCCTGCTTAGTCTATGCGGAGCATCGGTCTGTGACCGTAGGCCAATCAACCCAGGGTTGGGGGACTGGCGCTCACTGTTCACTACACTCGCAGTTGGTGCCGACCGACAGTGCTGCTGTCGTTGCGGCCGGTGTTCGTCTTACTCGCTGACTCGTTGTTCTCTATTTGTCCGATTCCCCTTTAGTCCTCGTCTTAAGCCGAGTAAATTATAGTCCGTTGGTTAATTGTCCGGCCCGCTACCGCCGATGACTGTTGGATGGCGCTGGTCCCTTCGCTCTTTTCCCTGAGATCTCACGGCGGCGGCTGCCGCCACGGCCGATATCGCCGCCGCCGCCGCCGCCGCCACGGTTTTTCATAGCTTTCAGCTCTCCTCAGCCGAATTCGCTCCTCGTAGCGGTGCCGCTATGCTACTGCTACTGCCGCTGTTCGGTTACAGTGGCGGCGACTGGTGCTGCTGTTGATGCCGTTGTCGTCATTTCTCTTATGTTCGCTCCCTCCGCCTCTCTCGCTACGGATCTCTCTTGCTCGCGCGTGCTCTCTCTCTCTCTCTCTCTCTCTCTCTCTCGCTTTGTTTTACTCTTACGGCCCTTACGACTACTATCTTTACTACTACCGCTCTTCTACAGCCAAGGGCTACTGGCGCCATGCCATTGGTCTGAGGCCACTGGCAGTACAAAGGGCACCGCCAGCTGAAGAGCGGAGCACAAGATCAGCCTAAATTGCTGCAGTCTGCTACGAGCTGGTATGCCTGAGCCACTCTGGTGGTCAGCTGAAATCAGCTCTCATTGGCGACGATGATGAGAAAAAGGACGAGGAGAAAATGATCTACTCGTAGAAAGACAGCAGCGTACACACGTACCCAGCAATAGTGCACGCAGCGAGCGAAGAACTCGTCCGCAGCGCGAAAAGCTGCCCTGATGGTTTGTTTCTTTTGTTGTCCATGCAATGATAGGGGTTGTGGTATATTTTACCTAGCCTTACTCGCCTGCGGCTTCTTCGGCATGGCGAAGGCGCGAAAACAACCGGTCGACAAGCGATTCTAATCAAGTATCTGCTACTACAAGAATGACAATAATCACTGCTGTTACTATTTCTGCAACAAGTCAGACCACCTCAAGGAAAGTAAATATATACGTTGGCTTGTCGAAAAAGTATTGACCGTTTTTATAAATACATGTCTTTAAAGTTATCTGTCTCAGATAAAATAGGTTGCGTCGGATCAACGTTGGCGACTCTTTAAAGTTCGGATTTGATAGCGGTAGGTGTGCTAAATTAGTTGGGATGACTTAATTCAACCTAAATATAGCGCGCCTTGAAGATGAGTGAAAATTTCCCTTATTTTACAACTTTATTGCGCAAATGCTGCCCAGGATCATTAAAACATACGTACCGTTTCTGGTTTATAAGATATCATTATCAAAACAAACGGCCTAAAGATTGCTTTGATCCTTCCGTTCAGATAATTTTCATATGAAAGATGCTCCTTCTAGTGGCTTCTATACGCTCCTTATTCAAGATCAAGCAAAGCGTTCACGTTATCATGATATCACATGAAGAACTAAACATTCATCAGTGAAACCCTTCGTAAAAATCTGTCTACGCAAAAAGATCTATGATTTTTGTCGAACGAATTGATACAGGATTATTTAGTCGATCGTATTACCCTTTGTGAAACTCTAAAGAAATGTAACGAACCATCTCTAAAACGGTAGATCGCAGGTGATGCGAAATTAACCATATGCGACAGTAATAAGCACTACAATATAAAAAAAAAAAAAAAAAAAGTTAAAACACGTTTTACTCTACAATCTATACGAGGTCCTGACTGACGCCAAAGAAGGTGATGCTATGTTCTTAGTGGGAGTAGAAAGGTATTATGCATTATGAGCTGCCGCCATTCGGCGAAACGATCGATTCGGATTACAACCAGACACTGAAAAAAATCGACCAAAACTAGTGGACAAAAAAGGCGTCGTCTTCCTGTTTCGCAGTAGTGTTAATTTAGCTTCAATGGGGGGATGCAAAATTCATTTACCACAATTTTCAGAGCTATAGAATTATGATGTTACCATCGATCAAAATCACGTTATATTTATTTCAGTGGTAACATTTTAAAATTAAAAGGTTAGCGTTAGCTTAAACCGGTCAATACTTTCTCGACAACCATATACATAGATTGTTGTTCGTTGATAAACATGTAGCATAAAATGACTGATCTTCTTGCCACCAGATAACGTAATGGTGCGCATTAATAGGAAAACTCTGGAGTCTTTTCGACCCGAAAAGACAGCCTTACGAACAGGCGAGCATGGGATCATCGCAGTGCGCACAATTAATTCAGTAGACCGAGTATTTATAAGGCCGCCGGCGACGTTATTTTATGCTGTACCCTCACTTGGCGATATAACACTCTGTTAAAAGCAACATATCTGACAAAAATCGACTTGATGCTAAAAAAACAATCTTCGGTGTAGGCCGGAACCTTTTCGGCCAGCTTCCTTGACAAAGGTTGAGAACTGGTACAATATGTTAATACAAAAAAAAAGTTGCTTAGTCCTAAAGTCAGATTAGAACAGACTTTCTTTTTTTTTGCCATTTGGTCGGGTACGGCGCTTTACCTAACGATTGGGAATTTCTTAAAGGTTAAAATATTTACTCATTACTTATTTCCTTTACTCCTCAATGATTTTCCTGAAAAAAAAAAATACAAATATCTTCGATAATGACACAATGAGACAAAGCAGAAAGTGTGCATGTGGAAGTTGAGTGGAGGTCGACTGCATGTGTTTCAATACTGGTGTAGCTGTGTACAAAGAGACCTTAGAGCCTGAAGTTATGATGCGCCCCAGGCGGTACGTGCATGGACTTTCCAACGCGATGATCAGTTCTACAATAAGAGGAAAAGCAAAGTTACAGTAACGGGTCAATGGTTAAACAACGACGGCTTAATTACGATGGGAGCACGAGATAGTTGACGCAAGACAATCGTACACCTGTAACTACATGCAGCATAATGTAGTCGCACTGCTAAAAAAGAGTAAAGAGATGTCACAGCAAAGTAATGCAATAAGCAAGAAACCCAGAAATGCAGTGGGTTTGCTAAGTCAACGAACCGAAAGAAGCTACATCGAAAAAACTCCTATGGACTAGTAAGAGAACGAAGTAGTAACAGGATTAGAGAACAGGTGCAATGAATCTGGGCTCAGTTCGAGCGAATCTGAGCTCGTTTTACGTAATAAGATTGGGAAAAATGACAGAACAATGGGGCTGCAGTTTATTTTGTATTTGTAAAACAAATCATGCGCGTCAAAGAGTTAAATACGTGCACGAAATCGGTCGCTCATGAGCGCGTGCTGTGCATGTGTGATGCTGTTTTATATCACACAGGTTGAGTGGCGATAAAAACCCCAATCTCAATAAAAAAGGCCTTAAATATGTAATAATAACAATAATAGCATTACAGACAGAGGCATCCGGGCGGGTGACATATCATAGCAGAGATGACGTGTTCCAATTTAAAAGACAATGGGCGCACAAAAACAACGGCTGGCGTTATCATTGACGGTGGCGGGCGGGCGGGCGAGTGTGAGAAATTTAGTTATAAAAGCATTGCAGGAAAAGTGTCTTAGCCTATTATTATACAGGTTTATGGTCCGGTTAACAAACACAAGTCTCGTATATGTGTTTAATAGTGGAGTTGAGACGATTTCCGGGTATACGAGTTGCCCTGTTGCCGACCAAGGACCACATGGCCTATTGGGAGAACTGCGACGAACAACGCAGCTACTAATTGCCAAAACTTATTCACTTATTATCAGTCATTTATAGGTTGATATAAAGTCAACCTCTGTATCAATGGTGCACGAAAGAATACATTTAGAAGACACTGATGTGGCTTCCTCTATCACGAGAACCATTTTATTGGTTAAAATGATTTTAAACTAATAAGGTTGAGGCATATAGTATTTTCCCATTGGGCTTCACCTAATAACGAGAGACATAAACGGTTTGACTATTACAAATATATAGTCAGTGTCCGAAGAGCGTTTGTGAGGTTTCGCACAAACTGTTGGGTTCATTAAAAATGATACACTATAGGGTGTTTAGTTAATGAAATCTACTCCGAAATCATCATTATTTCTATGAGATGAAACCAGGGTTGGAGTGTTAGTGTTCTTTCGGCTTCTACAAAATGAACACAATCTTCCTCATACGGTATACTTCGATCGTTACATTAACAAATTGCATCTAAATAACAGATATTCCTAAAAAGATATGTAGTTATTCAACGTTGCCGTTATTTGCCTCGACCACAGCTTCAATATGGGGTTCAAGCTACTCATAAGCCGCTGTCGAAAACGCATATTCGTTTCCAACATTCAGAACCTAAATACTTGTTGACGATTTCATTGTACCTGCAATTTAGTACGTATTCTTCTAATTGTGTGTAAGGAAGCGATTTTTCCTGTGTGTTTTTGTGTTTTCGATTGGGATGGCTTACTGTCAGGAGCCTATTGCAGACGTAGACAACACCAACCAAATTACCTGGCTCCATTATCTTCAAAGAAGTCCCGTCTGACTCTAACGGCAGAAAACTTACATCTGAGGTTTTTACTACCCCATTAAATTCGCCTGCCAGGGCTCGTGTTAAAGTACCATACCCGGCAAAAACGGGTTTTATTTTTGAGTCAGCTGTGGGATCCTTACAATATATTCCTCGTCATTTTCTTCCCATTTTGGCAAACTTGCTTCTGTTTTTTAAAGAACAGCGTTGTAATCACAATGCGGCACACCGATTTCGGCCGATTCCCATCGTTTGTCCAGCACAAAAAATTTAGACGGTCATAATAACAATCTTCTTTGTTTTTACTTCTGATCTTGATTTTAAAGACGAACCTTTTGCTTTCATCATAATGAAGTTGTGTTTTTATTCTAAAATCAATTGTCTTCTTTCTAGTACGCAGGTGAATTCATACCGCAAATAATGAACGGCTAATATAAATCACTTTACAGGACTTCACCAGTCGATTTCAAACCTCTGTATATATAGAGGATTGAATCTAGCCAATAGGAAAAGCAAAAAATCGATGAGTTAGAATTTGCTTAATA